GTATAGCATCTTTGAAAACTGTTTTTCTTAGCTAGATGACCTTAAATATGTAATAATAAGTATAAGTGGTTATAACACAAATTTTTAAATGGTTGATATTCTAATTTAGAATCAAAACTTCAAAATCTGCTTTATGTCAATTAGTGAATCAAACTAAATATGCTAGTCTTATATTGATGTTATTAAAAAATTTCTCTGAAATATTAATATAGAGCACCAGCTTTGGAGCACTTAATTGGTCTAGGAATTTTAATTAGAGAATATTTTAAACTTGTTAGATTGTAATTGATTCCCAAATAATGGTATCTCTAGGCCTATTCCTAATCAGTATATAAAAATGCACTGCTAATAATGTTGACAAGAGGGAAAACAAGAAGAGAGAAAGCTAATATATAAATTAATATGGTAGGGTGACTACCATAACTCTATGACCTTCTATAACAGCATAAAACATGGAAAAAGGGCACTAAAGTAGGGTAAGTCTAATCTAAATAGAGACCAAAACACAAGTGCTTTCACCACCATTGACACTTTGCTTGACATATTCTTGCTCTCATCCTGAATAAAGTATATACCTTCTTATGTATTAGAATTATTACAACATGACCCTTGATCTGGTTAGCACCAAATTTACAAGGAGCTTGGTCTCATATCAATTGATATCCATGAATTGTATCATGAATCACCCAACTTTCAAATGGATATATCAAACGATCTAGAAGGTCCTCATTTACAAATACCATTGCTACTTACACAAGAATTATTTATGGATAACAAGCTTAGTGCCTCAAATCTTATTTTGGTTATTGAACAATATTTGTGAACTAGTTTTTTTTTAACATTCTTCTTTTATTGCTATATCACTAGAAGATTGATGCTTTTTGGCTTTTCTATTAGTCTTTGTGCTGTGAAATTAATTGGGCATAACAAGTATACTTAAACTAAAGAAGTATAAGGAAATTCTTAGTCAAGCATGCTTAATCCAATAAAGAGCTCTTTTGTTTTGCACTGACTAGTGGAAAAAGCCCTTGTGATATTGAGTTTAGCCCCTCAATATCATTAAATGGTAGTTTATTATATTCCTTACACTCTCATTATGTATTTATGTTTCATTACTATTTATAGAAAGCATTTAGATCTACTAATAAAGCATCTTTATAAACTATAGAGAATATCTTGAATATGATAGTATTGTTTATAAGTCCTAATTCGCAATTTAACATCATCCTAAATCTAATATCATTCCAACATTCCAACATCCCAAATGTATAATAGGGATAATTGGAAGCATAACCAACTATTTAAGATATTAGTTTATGTCTCGTTGGGTTATATTGCTCTTTGTTTTGTGTTTACCTTAGGTATAAACTAACATGTTAGTCAGTGGGGTAGCCACTTTTTTGTGTTAAGCCATGTTAATTTTTCCCATGTGGTTTTTCCCATATGGAACTCCAAAACTTCACATTCTCCCCCCCTCTTCTTTCTCTTGGTTTCATCACTTCTCTTTGGCTTTTCCTTTGTCTTCCTCCTTTGTTTTTTTTTTTGTTGTTTCTTCACTTTCCAGCAATAACTGGTATAAAGCATCAACACAACAATTTGGTCATAGGTCCTCATGCGTGACAAAGTCTGGCACATTCCTCCCTAGTTATATGTTGTAGAGATAGCTAGATGCTAAAAATATTTTGATCCTCAAAATATTCCCTCTCTTGTATAAAAGACACACTTGAGTGTGAGAGATATAAAGATTAGCATTTCTGTAAGCACACTAGTGCAAAAGTGAGAGAAGGTTGAGGCTAGAGCCCTAACATAAATGTCATACGGATGGAGATTGAGTGAGGGTGGTGTACCTTAATTGATTCCACAATCAACTCTTATATTGGTATAATGAGTGTAATCATACAAAAACGACATGAGGCTGGGGACATAGATAATGCATAGAGTTCACAACCTATAAGGATTAAGAGCATGCATTTGTGGAGTGAATAGCATGGATCTAGGTTACACAAAAACAGACTTTAGTTCCATTGATCCTCACTTTGTTATCACCCCCTCTTTACTTTTTTTTGGTTTCAAGCATGTTAAAATCTGACTCTATGGTTTTTTAAAGGATAAATATGAAAAACCCCATTGACAAATAGACTACTTTTAATAAAGACCATTAATGGTAAATCAAAATAGATCTAGCAAGGGGGAACTATAGCATTAAATTTTACAAAATTTAATTGAAATTCATTCAACGTATGAGCCTGATTACTTGCAGAATATATATACTACTTTACTAAGACAACACTTAGATCATCACAAATAAAAATTAGATGTTGCTATTCAAAAATGGTGAAAACATTAATAGAATCTATAGTGATGCCATATGAAGAAATGATATATTAAATTTTGATCAAAATAACATTTCTAGAACAAGGTGAACATGATGGTTGTACTTGTTTTGAGTCTTAGAAAAGATAACAATATCTAGATGAGAATAAAGAAATAAAAAAAAATCATAAAATATGTTATTCATTATATGTTAGAAAAAAATAGGAGACTAAAAGGAATTAACAAATACAAAGGTTATTTTTATTTATTACCCTCTCAAATATAGATAAAGTTATAAGTACTATAAGTCAATTTTGGTGAAGAATAAAGTCTTGGAGAGCCACTCTATTATCTTACAGATCAGTAAAAGTGGATATCAATTGGGAATGAATAAGTTGTAGTAGTCAACCACTAAATGAAAAGATTTGTCTTTTTTGAATATAAAAACATAAGTGCACTAACTAAAGACTAAGAATGTTAAATAAAACCTTTAGAAAGATTCTTTATTATATGTTCATATAATGCCTCCAACTTTGTGAGTGAAAGATTATATATGGAACTAAATGGTGGTGATTTTCCCCTCTATAAGATCTATAGAACAATCATAAAGTCAATGTGATAGCAAGTTATTAGCTCTCCTCTAAATCACTATACTTAGAGGGAAGAATAGATTTGATCCCAATAGATAAAGTTATTGTTGAATAAATGATAATTGTGAAGATGAAACAAGGATTCTAACAACTAACATCTTGGAAGTCATGCAAAGAAATATGAGAAATTTAGATTGGAGAAGCAGGAGAAGAGGTGGAGAAGGGCAAAATTATCTGATTAATATCACACTAATCCATTATCAAGTTCACTATCTCAAACCATAGAAAATTCATAATGATAGAGGTTTTTAGAATAGAGGCAACATTGAAAGAGATATTGCGACAAATCCTAAATATTGTCACTTTTACCAACTCAATTTCAAGTGTAATTAACCTAGAGGAGATGTGTAGACCATCCACCACTTCAGCACAAATTGGGCCTTGTGTTAGTGGTAAAAGAATACTATAAAAAAATGTAAACTCCCAATTAATGAAGTTTGCATTGACACCACTATCACTTAAAACTCAAAAATACAAATTAGACTTAATAGATTAAAAATGAGTAATAATATAGAAACACTCAAAAATCCTTGAAAAAGAAATAGAGTTAATATTAGGAAGAGGAAATGAGTTTACTAGTTGAACAATCTTTAATTGGATTAAATGTTCTTATCTTCACATGTGTTAATCCATTTTACAAGCTTGAAAGTGAATGTAAAAGCAAAGATAGAAATGGTTTGCATTGCCACAATATATCTAGAGGTTCAATGTTGTCATTTAACCTCAAAAAGATAGTGTTGACATGTGGCTTTAATCTTTATTGAAACTATATCTTTCTCATAAGCTAGTTATTCTAAGATTAAGGCTATTAGATGAGGAACAAAGGTTTAATAATAATAATATGAGAGCATGAGATCTTCATGAAATAAAATACTCCTTAAGTGTTGCATTATTCCATGAAATAACAATGGTGCCCATCTAGAACTTTAATGTATAGGTGGGATGCAAATTTGGAGCCCTGGCATAATTGCTAAATTTTATTAATGGCAGTGTACTCTTGAATATATTAGTGAAGTGTTGAATAAAGAGATCTAAATCTTGAAAAAAAATATCAATATAGCACATGAATTTAAAACTAGACTCTATATTTGATGTACTGTAAAACAAGTGTCCACTATATACTCAAATCCCCTATGAACACCAGCTCCTTGTATTTAACTCTTACACACAAAACAATGTTAAATAAAGTTTAGTATAATTCTAGTGATCTAACACATACTTTAAACCGGCTAACAACATGGAGTGTGGATTAAACAAATTGGATATACAACAAGGAATGATACAACTTAACAAGAGCAAAATTAATGCTTTAGGTAGTTATCTATACTTTTAATCTACCATACACTCCCTTAATGTCATTTTTAAAAAAAAGGGTAAAGAACCAAGAGAGAGGCATTCTAGTATGAAGAGATTTGATCAGACTTATATAAGAAGTTGGAATGAAATATCAACTAAACTACATAATAATTTAAAATTTGATTTGGTTGAGGAAGTCATAGAACTTAGACTTTGTATCATCAAATTTTGTTAGCATACTAATCTTTGGCTTTAAACTTGGTGTTAAATAATTTGCTAAAGCTATCAGTGAAATGCCATTTTGGATTGTTCGAACACCTTATATAATGTCTATAGAGTATTGGACATGTTTGGAGTTGAAGAAGAAGATTTGAAGAAGCCATTGATGTGATAATGTTTAAATTACTAAAAGTTCATTGTAAAAAAAAGGGAGACAATGAAATTATTAATAAAATACCAAAACAATAAAAAAGAAAAGATGAATTTGTGAACACTCTTGGTACACAACTCTATTTTTATATAGAAACTATTCTAATTCAACCTTTAGATAATCCAAAAATCTAATCTAAGTATGGGTCCATGCTAATATTAAATACACATCTAATCACATAAACAAGGTTTAATAGTCATGCTTCTTCTTAATAAAAGGAAAATATGGCAATTCCAGCATTTTGTGACCTCTTGAACGGCCAGCTTGGAATTGGACAAGAAAGCCTGAGCCAGAAAAAGATATGGATTGAACTATATACATGCGTTTCCAAGAAGAACATACACATACCCCTCGTGACAAGCCGAGTCCATTGTAGACTTTGCCGCAAAGTAGCAGTGCTTGACTACGGTTCTAGAGTCTTGAATTCGGCAAGCTCTCAGAAACGAGCTCCAGTCCGAAGCACTAGGCTTGAACGGCATGGAATGGATGAGATCATGGGCATCATCGAGGAATCCCGCACGCCCCAGCAGATCCACAATGCAGCAATAGTGTTGTTTGATGTGGCTGGCTCCAAAATCCATGACGATCGAAACGAAGCAGCTCCTCGCAGCAGCGAGCTTCCCCGTGCGGCTGCAAGCGATGAGGCAGCACGGGAAGCACGATTTGTCCGGCATTGTCACCAGGATCATGGAGCTGAACAGCTCAAGACTGGATTGAATTGAGTGAATGCGATCGTTGCTGTGGACCAAAGCCGCAAGCATTGCACTCCATGACACTGAGTCTTGCTCGGGCATCTGCTCAAAGAGTTTACTTGCAAGAAGTATTTGCCCACTCTGGGCATATCCAGAGAGCAAGACGTTCCACGACACGGAGTTGCGAACTGGCATCTGATCAAAGACCACCTTTGCCTCCAGGATGTAGTTGTTTTTGAGAAAACAGGCCACCATGGCTGTCCAGGAAACCACGTCCCGCTGCGGCATTTTCTTCTCAAAGATCTCCCAGGCGAGCTCCAAGTTGCCGCTCCCGCCATAGCCCGAGAGCATCGCGTTCCAGGTGACTTGGTCGTGCTGGGGCATTTGCGCAAACATTTTCTCCATCACAGAAACATACCCGGATTGCGCATAAGCCGAAAGCATCGCGGACCAAGTCACCACATCCCGCTGCTCCATGCGATCAAACACCGCCCGCGCTTCCTCCAGGCTTTCCTCCTCGAGGCACACATTCAGGATCGCATTCCACGACGCGAGGTTGTGCCGCGGCATCTGCTGAAAGAGCTCTCGGGCCTCTCGCAACGCGCCGGTTTTCAGGAAAATGGAAAGCATCGCGTTCCAGGAGATGATGTTTCGCTGGGTGGCGGCATCGAAGAGGGCCTTAGCACCGCTTGCCCGCCGTGGTTCGAGAGCAAAGGCTGCGAGCATCGCGTTCCAAGAGACGAGGTTGTGCTGAGGCATGGCATCAAACACCGCCCGCGCCGCGCAGATGTGGCCGCCATGCGCGTACGCGGTGATCATGCTTGTCCATGATACCACGTCGCGGCACTCCATGCTCTCAAACACCGCCTTGGCGGCCTCCAGGCGTCCATCGCGGGCGTGCATGGACAGCATCACGTTCCAAGACATGAGCTTGTGCTCGGGCATTCGATCGAACGTTTTCTCCGCTTGGGCTGTAAGCCCGCACTGTGCGTATGCCGTAAGCATTGCATTCCACGTAACAAAGTTCGTAGCTGGCATTGTTTGGAGCACAGTCTCGGCTTGCGCAGTTTGGCCACTCTGGGCAAATGCTGTAAGGAGGCTATTCCAGGACACAAGCGTCAAGACTGGCATCGCGTGGAATATGGCCAGTGTTTCTTTGATGTCCGAGTTACTTGAGCTTGCGGCCAGGATCGTATTCCAGCTGAAAATGTCATGCTGTGGCATGTCGTAAAAGAGCTCCTGAGCTTCGCAAAAATGCCCACTCTTGGCATAGACCCAGATCATCTGGTTACACGACACGAGATCCCGGCGCTCCATCGAGCAGAAGAAAGCCTTGGTTTGGTCCAGAGTTCGCAACCTGGCACAAAGTCCGAGCATAATGTTCCACGACGCGACGTCTTTGTGTGGGATCTCATCGAAAAGTTTCTGGGCTTCCTCGGCATAGCCCAAGGCGGCATAGGCGGATAGCACCGCGTTGGTGGAGATTGTGTCAGTGTGTGGCATTTGCTCGAAGACCTTCTTGGCAAGCTGGATGTGGCCGGCCCGGGCATGCTCGGCGATGGCATCAGTGCACGCAGATAGATCATAGACCTGGAGCTTGTTGCCCTCGTTCATGCACATAGGATCAAAGTATATGCTGGGCAGCCCTAACTAGAGTTCGCAACGCGTGGGAGTCAGTTGGTTGGTAATGTGGGGAACAACGTGTCATATGGGTATAGCATCGCTACAGTTCCAGCTCTTGCTTCACGTGCTCTGTTTTTTTGTTCTTCTTCATTGGATTTTAATTATTTTTGACACTCGATTAACCAAGAGAAAGACGCAAATTCTCTCAATCAACTAGCTATTAAGATTAATCAATTGCCCTTTTTTCAATTAGAGAGAAATAAAATGTGCTTGTATTTTGAATCGTGTAGCGCCAGCAATTCCCTTGAGAAAGGTTTGTTGGAATTTTATTTGGTCAGTGTTGAAATACACTAGGGTGGGACTCAAGAATACAAGCACTTTTGAAGTATCTGAGATGCGTGGCACCGTATAAAGAAGTAACCTTTTTTTTTATCAATTCATGAAAGTCAACGAGCGAGACACTCCCTCCGCGTCTGCCGTGATGAATTTCTTGATTGGCGAACAACTTCCTCTAGGTTACGGTTGCAAAGAGGAAGAATGGTGCTTGTCATCTCCAAAGACCAGGTAACTCCAGAGCTTCTAGAGTCTGTAGCACGGGATGGATATAATGCCAAGATTGTCTCGGCAAACGACCACGAAGAGGAGCTCTCGGAAGTCCTCTGCTTAGCCCAGATCTCCACTCCTTTGGACATGGACGCACTCCGAGTCGATTGTAGATCTGGCATCATGGACATCCTGCTGCCCGAGGAGCTCATCGAGGACACAGCTGTTTTGGAGCTCCTGGAGTACTACCAATACACCATTGCCCAGGAGACACGAGCCATCCTTCTCGGCGACCATGATCACGATCACGCGGAGCGCAACAAGATCTACTGCACGAGAGCGTTCGACGAGGAGAGGCTGGAGTTGAAGCTCCACTGCATGTACAACTCCAAGAGGACGAAGATCGAAGTCCCGGCCATCAACTACGCGGTGAGATACAAGAGCTTTGTCGTCGACGAGCGCAAGCAAATCCAAGAGACCATTCTGTCGACGGCCGGGATGCCGGAGCAAAAGCTGGGGATTGGCCTCTGCGTTGACATCTTTGGATCCAACCATGATCACCCAAGAAGCATCTTGATGCGCTTGTCAACCTTCTGCGTGGGGATCTCCATGGAGGACTTCCTGGACGAAACAAAACACGAGCACTTGTTTGGCTTCTTCCCGGACTCGGTCAAGATCACGATTCAGCCTTTACTTACCAGTATGAAGCCGAGCACCCGGATTCTTCCCTGTTTCATCACCCCCGACCAGAGCTTATCTTTGGTTCCGGACTACCAGATCGCGTCTGACGCGCAGCACGAGTATAGAGCAGGAGTGAGCGTGAAGATCCCAACAGCTGCGAAGCTGGAGATTGGAATCACTAGGAAGGAGGCCGACAACTCTGCAGTAAGATTGACAACAGTTAGTCCAGTTAACGTGGGAGACCCTGGCGTTGCATGCATCCAGTGGAAGATGAATACCTGGGCAAACAAGAAGCCTTATCACTGCGACAAGCCTCACAAGGCCATGACCAAGTTTGGAGAGTGGCCAAAACTTCCATATCTCGGCACTGGTCCGCAAATCACCGGCGTGGAGAGAATCCAGTGGCAAGTTCAGGACCCGGACGTGATCCTGGACGATCTGCGTTTCGAGGTGACGATTGAGACAAGGATGGTGCTGCTCCGCAAGGAGAAGGTCGTGAGCTTCTGTGGACTTGGGGAAGTTGCTTTCAGCGGAGAGTCGACTCAGATCAGACTGGTGCACAAAGCTGAGATGAAACTCATGAGAGTCTGATTGATCAAATGATAAAAGCAAAGTCTGTGAGACGACGATCCAGTCCAAAAGTCGATACGTACCAGTTGTGTTTCAAAAGCTGAGAGCAGAGTAAAGATCTCCAGAGACTGTAAAAGCTGCCCATTGATTGACAGTGTAAGCTGGAGCTCCCATGAAGTTCTTCGAGTGGATCATCGACTTCATCGCGGACTGCAAAGCCACGGCAATCTCCACACCCTTGCATGCCTCGGCATAAAATTTTTCCACAAGCAGCTGTGTTTCAAAGTCGTCCACGTTCCAGAGAGAAGCCACCACCACCGAAACCCCAGCGTCGTGGAAACACCGGCACAGCCCTGTTATCCCTTGCATTTCGATCTGTCCCAGGGCAGTGCTGCATCCACTCAGCACCACTCCGAAGCTCGCCACCTCTCTGTGACGGCGAAGTTTCTCTTCGATTTCTTCCATTGACAAGCTCCCGTCCTCCAGATGCAGAGCACCGCAAGGAAAGTTGTTGTTGATCGACGAGTGTCCCGCGATGTGGATCCAGCGACTGCTGGAAAACGAGTCCATCACTGCTGCACGAGTTGCTGCGGCAGCTTCGTCCATCTCACGGGCTCGCCTGCCTTGAAGACCCAATAAGAGATCCACCTGACATGATCCTCGTTGCATGAGCTTGTTGACCACGAGCACGGCCTCGTCTTCTGCCGATTCCAGCGAGTCGTCTGGATTTCCCACCACCATAGCCTGCTTGATGACCACCTGGTCGCTTTTGTTACCTATGAATCTCTCGACCATTCTCAGGGATGGCGAGTACGAGATTGCATACTTCTCCACCAGGTAGAGTCCGTCCTCCGGGTCCAGCAATGCAGCAAACGGCACCATCGCCACCACCTGTGAGCTCGTAAAACTCTGCAAGCTTTTCCTGGCAAATTTCAGAAAGACGTACCGAAGTTGGGATGACAACCAGCCGCTTTGGTTGGATTCGTTTGAGCTCCTCCGACCAGGGTGAGATGAGCAGCTGATGAAGCTCCTCCAGGCACTTCCTAATATCCTCGTCCTCGGCAAGGTTTCTCCGCATGTCGTAAACTTTGGAGTAGAGCTGTCCAACAGCCTGAGCGTGCCACCGGGCTTCTTCTTCATTTGGATTCAAGAGATAGCTGTGCATCTTACTTTGGCTGGGAAGCTCTACGAACGGATACACCCAGTCCCAAAGGTAGACGAGAAACACAGTGTCGTCTCTCGCCGACTTGTAGACCGCTTCCAGTTCTTCCCAGATGGTGTCCACGTTATCGATATCACGAGGCCCCGGACGTCTGCTCTCCTGCTGGTACCAGCACAGCAGATGTTTTTCCCGCTGCAAAGGCCGAAAAGCCTTTCTTCTCCTGGCTTTCAGGAGATCTCCAACAGTGAACATCCCTGCTAGATCCTGGTTTGCTGTAAGAATGCTGTCGATGATCGAGTCACAGTTGCGTTCTTGGAGTTTGTCGCCGTCTAGCTTGTTCCTGTGGGCATTTGCCTTTGCCAACTCCACCACAAAGCTCACAGCCTCCGTCATGTTGATCATTCGTACGCACTTGGAAGAGGTATTTTTGCTGCAGAGGTCCAAGAGTTGAGCAGTGCTGGATTCCCCTCCTTCAAGGTCGCCTCGGTGATAAATCTCGGCTGTCGCTCGGTTCCGGACGAGCTCCGCAGCTAGAGCGTTGTGATTGGCCTTCGGAACAAGCCCTTGCATGGAGACAAGCATTTGCAACTTCTCTTCTGCTTCCTGGGTTCCTTCGTGATTAGCTGAAAACTCCCTGGATAGCCGTGAAATCCCCAAGACAAGTCGAGCTGACTCCATGACATTTTCCATGACTTGCGGCCAGCAAACGGGATGACTCGTGTCCGGCTGTTGCGTTTCAAAGTATGAGAAGCTCTCGGGTAGCATGTCTGTCGAAAGTTGCTCCAGGATCTGGAGAGCTTCGAGGCTGGCCGCCTCGGCCTCGCCAAATCTCTTCTGAGCGAAGTTGATGCATGCATGCATCTCGTGGATTTGAGCAGCGACGTAACCCCCGGCATGGTTTCCCTGCAGCTTGTTGGCAAGTGCCTCGGCCTCATGAAGGTTTCCGGCGTAGAACTCAACTTGAAAGAGCTTGCAGAGTGCGTGTAGCGCCACATCCACTCTCTGGAGCTTCACAGCAGCCCAGTGCTGGATTCCATAAACCATTTGAGCCTGTTTCCTGCAACGAAAAAACTAAAGACAATTTACCCAGCAAAGATTTCGAAAGATCCCAATACCTGCTATGAGAAATCAGCTCCCGTTCTCCGAGATAAATATCTCCCAGCATCTCACTGGCCTGGCTAAGGAGATTGTAGCTTCTTGCAAGTTCCAAGCTCCTCCGAAACCAGCTCGTAGAATCGTCCGTGTTGCTGCTCTTGCTGGTACCCACGCCAACGTAAAAGCAGGCCCAGGCCTTGGCCTCGTCCAGAAGCTCGGGAGGGGTCCAAAAGTCCTTGACGAAATCGAGAACAAGGTGGTAGACTTGCGAAGGTGATTGGGATACTAGAAGTTGCGAAACGAGCATCTGGGTGTAGTCCAGTGCCCAGTAAGCTCCAGGACAGTCTTTGTACGCTTCCGTCTTGAGGTGCAAGTTGATGAAACCTCTCAAAGCGTCACATGGATCCAGGCGTTGATCGTCCAGAAGTCTCCTTATGCTTCGCAGCTCGGCCGAAACGTCCTTCACGGGATCACCGAGGATCTCAAAGAACCACGGCTCGTTCCACTGCTCTAGTTTCTCGAGCTGCTTGCTTTGGTTCCATGACAACGTGCTGCTGGCATGGTTCAGCTTCACTTTCTCCAGTAGAAATTCGTGAGCGAGATGGAGCCAGTGCTCTTTCTGCATGTACCAGTGGATCGATCGTTAGAACAGGAAAAAAATGAAAGTGACAATGAAAAAAGAAACCTGGAGCCGGAAGGAGATTGGTGGACCACCATGGAGACCAAGTTCACCTATTTGTTGGATTTTGTATGTGGCATCGATGAATACTGCTTGAGTCTCTCGTGGAACCTTGAGCCAAATGGGACAGATACTATCGATATGTGGTGGACAAATGATCTCTGGCTTTCCCATGGTTCACCAAAGCCCTGAGAAAAATCGCGATACCAGAAAAAATGCAAGCAAGAATGAAACGCACCCTGAAAGAGAACAACCGAAGACTTTAGTACCTGGCATTCTTAGATAAGGGATCGACGAAACCCCTCAATTCTACATCCCATACTGTGCGGGCGTTCTGATGGAGCTACAATCAATCAATCGAGCGAGAAGATAGCCGCTACCTCTCGGATCGATTCCAAGACCTTGTGGCGCTCTTCCCTCCCAGAAATATTTTCGTCTTCCTTGCCCTAAACATCGACGGCCAATATCGAGTGGATCGTTTAAAAAGTGACTGCTTGCCACGTCAGTAGCACAAGGAAAACTATAAATAATGTGGCGCGCCGCCATTGGTCCCCTTTATCATGTGTGACAAGACAAAACTATGGTGTGGAGAGCGCTCTTCCTCTTCTCGCTCGCGTTCTTGACATCGAGCTTCATATCATCCATCAACGAGCAATCGCCGCCGCGCCGCTACTTCGGCACCGCCACCGATCAAGGCCTCCGCCGCTACCAGGAGGACAGGATCTTGGCCGTGGCCAATCACACCCAGTTTGGAGTCTTCGGCGTGTTTGACGGCCACGGCGGCGCGCAAGCCAGCGATCTCGCCGCCTCGCTCTTCTATCCCAGGTTCGTCCGCCACCTTTCCTCCCAGGGTGGCGATCTCCGCCGCCATGCATTCGAGAAATCCCTGCGATCCACACTGGGCGACGTCGAGGACGCGGTTCTCGGTAACCAGATCACGGCCGGATCCACCGCGTGTGTTGCCGTTGTCACGTCCGAGTTCGTGCTGGTGGCCAACGTCGGCGACTCTCGAGCTCTCGTCTGCGCTGCCGGATCGCCCGCGAGCTCTCCACGCTTGAAAGCCGTGCAGCTTAGCCGAGACCACCACCCCGAGGTGCCCGAGGAGCGAGCACGGATCGAAGCGGCGGGTGGCCGGGTTGTTTTCACGGGGGCGGTTTACCGAGTGGACGGAGCTCTGGCCGTGTCTCGGGCCATCGGTGACGCGGAGTTTAAGTCGCATGGCGTGATCGCGACGCCGGAGTTCACGGAGTATAGCATCGCCGAGGCCGGGGCTGGATCCTACTTGCTGCTCACCTCGGACGGAGTGTTTGAGACCATGTCCAACGAGGAGGTGTGTAGGACGATGGGTAGCGGATCGACTTCCTTGGACGAAATGGCATCGAGGATAGTTCGAAGAGCCTTGAACAGGGGGAGCTCGGACAACGTTTCTGTGATTGTAGTTCCATTGTAAGTTTGGAAGAAGCACAGCTTAGTAGCTCATTCATTAGCAAGCAGGGATAGTCGATCCCGAAATTCTTGAGAACCTGTTACACAGATCTCTAAATTGATGCGAACACGATTCATATAAAGAGCGTGGTTCGATCTTATCCTCAGGCAAGAAAGGCAAAATCCTCACCACTTCGTCCACCTCCACATACCAAAGCAAAGATCCTCGGCTGAAAAGACGCGCATTCAGGACAGCGCTCATGATCGATCGCTCTCTCTCGATTCCATTGCCAAAAGCCCTAAAATCTCGAATGTACCGCCACGTGGAACTCGCGTGCCCTACATATCAGGAGGGACGTGGCGGCTGACACGGCAAACTAACTTATGGCCACCGAACGCTGTGCTTCCCATCGTCCCAAGTGAGCGACGAAAACGCCCATGGAAAAGAAATGGGCGCTTGTGAAGAACTCATGGCAATCGTCACGTTGAAGGAGAGCTTCTCCCCTTTGCTCGAGGAGTGTAGCTCCTGGGGAAAGACGGGGATGGCGAGCCGCGAATCGCTAGGAGCCTCGACTCGGGATCTGTAGATCGAGCTCGCGTCGCCGATGTTCGCTGGATCATGGCGCTCCTAACGACGCTGATGTAGAATCCGATGGAGGGATAGTTGAGGCTGGCGGGAGTGCTCTTGCGGCCCGTGCTGCACATGTAGAGGATGTAGTCCGAGGTAGCGGTCTCCTAGACCAGTCCCGGATCGATGGCTTTCATCGGCTGGATCACTCCGGCGCCAATGCTGAAGAAGCTTGCTGGCATTCCGTCGCTGTCGGTGTTGTCGAGAAAATCTCGCTAAAAAGTTTCGAGAGATAGCATCAGTCCCCGCTTTTGCTCATCGTGACAATGATCTCCTACCAGTTGTCATGATCGCAGACTTGATTGCTGCCGGACTCCATCTTGGATGAACCGACTTGACGAAAGCAGCAGTACCGGTTGCGTGAGGATAGGCGAAGGACGTTCCAGATGCAATAGCATAGTTCACGCGCACAAACTTCCCACTTGGATCCATTGCTGGACGCGCACCGCTCCATGCCGCCAAAATGCTCGCGCCTCGAGCACTCACGTCCGGCTGAGAAACATCCAAGGAAATCAGAATTGTGTCTTCCAGTGAAAACAAAAAAGCAAAGCAGCTTTGATCATGACGAGCATTACCTTTATAATGTCGGGACTGATAAAGCTGGGTCCTCTTGAAGAGGAACCTGCAGCAACTGGTGCGGGCTTTATAGGAAACACAGTTGAGTTCCTGAAAAAACAAGATATCAGTCAAGCAAACAACTTTGAAGTATTGACTCACGGTGTGATGTTTCGATCGATTGAGCTAGCACCAACAGTAAGTATCCAAGGAGCTACATTCGTCACTGTTCCGTTGAGCGGCCCAGAGTTTCCAGAAGTACTCGAGACTATAATGTCTTTCTCCAGACTATAACGTCTTTCTCCAGTGCATGGAAGGCACCAATCGCGATAATGTCGATGTTATACGGCAGAGTCACGTCTCCAAGTGAGAGCGAGATCACGTCCACACCGTCGTGAATTGTGTCGTCTAAAGCCGTTACAATGTTGATGTCGTAGCACTGGAACATCCAACACACTTTCTACGCAGAAATCCTGGCACTGCGAAAACCACCTCTTGCAATTCCTGAAGCCAGTCCCCCCATACTCGCGTTGGCCACTGCCATACCAGCGGCAATAGAACCTGTGGCCGTTCCATGACCACCGAAGTCTCTAGGATTACTGTATGCCACCGAAGCGTTTGGAGACAGGCCAGCTCTGTAGTATTTCGCACCTCACAAATTTCAGGAAAAAAGAAAGTGATGGAGTGCAGACGAACTGTCTCGTACCTGTTGCAGTGAACTACAACGGAAGCGTTTGTCTTTGGATCATTGACGCAGGAGCCCTTCCATGTCGCAGGAACTGGACTCATTCCATCATCACGGAAGCTTTCGGATTCAGGCCATATACCTTGTGCATTAGGAGTGTGACCCCTCGAAAGACGAATATTGAGTTCAAGTCAAGGAGTCCAATAATTACGTCACTGGAGTCCTCACCCAGAATTTTGTGCTCGGACGAAAGCGTTGCTGCTTTTGACTCTGCGTCGATCGGAAGGCCCAAGAAATCCCAGAGTGTAAAGAGAGATGAACACTGAGAACTTCCGGCATTCCTACAGATCAGGACAAAAACTGTTTAGATTAGACTGAAGTTTCCAGCACGTACTGGATAACTCGTCAGCTTGTTCTTTGGTAAGTCTGGCTGAGAATCCACTAAATACATATTTATAACTATAGATCATCGCTGCTGAGGCCGAGAGCAGAAAAATTAAAGAAAATAAACACGAAGGATCAAACTGGTAGTTCCTTGCGCGAGTAGATCATAGTGAGTTCTGGTCAGTGTTTCGGTCGATATGCCCTTTTGACCTCCAAGGTAGAAAATATACGGCTACAAGAGGAATAATAATCAAAGACCGATTAAAGTAGAGAAAATGAACAATAAAAACCTTTAACGAGCTCGAAACATCTCCTTTGCAGTAACGCAAAAAGAACACAAAAAGAAAGAATTGCATTTTGTGGTGAGAAACACTGCAGAGATTTAAATAAAGCAAAAGCGGCGGCTATCACTAGCAAATAACACAAGCTAAAGTGTACTACAGACAAATGATCTTATCATATTATCTAAAGGAATTGTTATTCAAAAAAAAAGTACCTTAACACGCAGGCATGACAGGAGGAGGGACAAGTTGTTCCGAGGGCTCATCCCCATTCTCGACTATAAGCACGATGCCCAATCCCACCGAGAGGTGGAAATCAAGATGGCAATGAAAATACCAAGCACCTAAAAGCACCCACAGCTTTTTAAAGGTAATGAAAGAGCTCCACAGAACGGAAGTACCTGGATTAGTAGCTAAGAATCTCAAAGCAGTCCACCCTCCCGCTGGAACCTGTACCGTGTTGTGCTTAGGAGGATCCCAGAGATTAAACGTCGAAGCCAGTGACGAGTTGTAGTTCCCAAGCCCACGTCCGACCACAAAAAAGTCGAAACCATGGAGGTGCATGGGGTGAGACTCCGCTACCACAAGACTTGTCCCTTGAAGAATAACCTGCATCCTCGTTCCATACTCCACAACGTGCACCTTAGTTCCCCGGACAGCGTTGAGATTAGCAGGCGGAGGCCCAGTGTAGTCGAAAACAACAGGAGGATACTGTGGGAAGTCGGTGGTGTAGACTCCAGAACTGGCACCGGTGTAGAAAGCCTCGAGTATGGAGGTGTTCGGATGGACGTAGCTTATGTTGTTCATGGATGCTCCGGCCCGCCCCTCAAAAAACTGGCAGCTTTCCTCTGATGCGTCCGGAGGACAGTCGAGGACGTTCATCGACACCGTTATCACCATCTCTTTGTCGATTTCTGTAGGAACCGCCCCCTCGACGAGCCCCAGTACCTTGTCCTCAAACTCTGTCACAAAAGCTGTGTCGAAGTGGCCAGGAAGATCTGGTAAATCTGCCGGAACGTCGGACGAGTCACCAACTTCGAGTATTGCGGAACTTGTCGTGTTGTCAATAGGTATACTCGGAGCCGCACTGTATGCTCGGGCAGCCATAAGGTATGAACCGACGTCACTTCCAGTAGTGATCAGCACGTTCATGCTCTGGCCTGGTCCGATTACCACTGTGCTCGTGTTAAAAGGTTTAACATACGAGGCGTCGATCTCGATCACTTCAAGGGTATGATTTGCAATACCAAAGAACATCTCGATCTGCATTGCAGCGTTGACAAGGCGCAGGAGATGTGTGTTGCTTTCTGCTACCCTTACACGAGCGGTATCTGTGGACAACTATCAGTTCATATAGCAATGAGTGTGCCTGCATACCTGACTCTGAGCACCCACCATACAGGAGGCCGGGAAGCCCGTTTATCGTCAATGCATCTGATATGTTTGGTGGTACACCAGCTGCTGTAGCTTCGTCCACCATCGCAGAAACATCAGAGTTCCACCATTGTCCTGGAAAATCATGTAAGAAATACGCAAAGAAGTTAGACATACCAAGAATGATAGTGTGCTCCTCTGGGAGAGGATTAGAACTAGGCTGTATTATAAAAGCTCCGTAAACGGTAGCTCTGAGCCAGCCTGCGTGTGCATGCCACCATAAGGTACCCCGCTGACCAACAACCGTGAAGTTGTACGTAAAGGAATTTCCAGGCTGAATGGGACACTGTGTGACGTACGACGGACCATCGAACCAGCATGTCCGCTTTTGATACACACCATGCCTACCATTCCAGTCGTCTCTTAAAATCAAGCTCAGAAAAAAAAGGAAGAAAGAAACGCTTTCTAGCACTTACCAGTGAATGCTGATGCCAGAACTCGCTTTGTTTGTTACTTCAATAATCACTCTATCCTCTTCATCTACTTCAATTTGCGGGCCTGGAAACTCGCCGTTCACAGTAACAATCGTTCTGGTTCGACAGAGTCTAGTGATAGTCTTATTCTCTACCTGCAAGAGAAACTATTACTCGGAAAGCCTCCTAGATCAAGGCTTACAGTAAAATAGTAGTGTTTAGTTGAAGAATGAACAGTTTGAAAAGTAGTCGCTACAAGAAATAATATTGTTAGAATCGACATAACAGTCTAAATAAACATTCAAAACTTACCTTGCTATATATTCAAGTCTATCCACCCTCCGTTCTCATTTTGACCATTCACACCACCTCAGTGGGATTCAGGAGTTGCGTGAGTGACTACAATTACTCTTGCCACACTAAAACAATGGATAGAATCAAGACTTTCATGCCCCACGGCAACTCCCATGCAGTGTTAGAGATTAAAACGAATGGTCATGATCATTACCAGAGAAGAACCTCTACAAGTATTTTACAGCCGCAAGTACACTCAGCACAAATCCCGACGAGCTTAGAAAACTGTATGTAAAAAAGATCCTGCATGCCATATATGAGCCCGCGTGTTCGAAATAGACAAACTACAAACCTGCCATCTGGACGCGGCTTCTTCGATAGTCAAAAGGTGCTGCACGAGTTGTACAATTCCGAAACAAAAATGCTTGCAGCTCGGTAGTTAGCCAAACACTCCTGCCCCAAACTCGCCCCGTAACTCACGCCTTCTTTGTTCTTCGAGTGGATCCGGGCTTTTCATGGCTCTTCTCAGTCTCCTGGCAGACGATAACCATAATAGCCACGTAATGTTCTTCTCTACTGAACAATGTGTACCTGTCCTGATCGCTTCGTACTGGAAAAGTCGGCATAAGCTCTTTCATTTTTGGAAGTGGAACTTCGTCAAACCATTCGTGATTCAACGCTTCTTCAGCTGTAATTCTCTGCAAATTCCTGGAGTCAGTTAGGAGGCCTTGCCGTGTGGAATAAATACCTTCGATGGATCGTAGGTAAGGAGTTTGTTAAGCAAGTCATAACCCTTCTCGGATAAAGCCGGTCTTCCTCCAAAAGCAACTGGAGGAAACTTTTCCCGAAGCCTATTATACCTATCAAAGATTACACCAGTTAGAATTGCCGAGTCCCAGGACAAACGAAACTCACGGTTGGCGCACAAAGTTGCATTTGACCCCTGGCAAGTTTACAAAATTGGGCCAGATCTTCTCATTTGGCGTTCCTAATGTCTTAAATATCTGCAGTGTAGAAAGACACAGATATATTGTAGATGTACTTCAGAATTACTGACCTTGTCCAGCTGGTCTATTTCAGACTTCCCGGTGAACAAAGGTTCTTTGGCGAGGAATTCTGCCATAATGCAACCCAAGGACCACATGTCAATGGCAGCATTGTATTTCTTTGAGCCGAGAAGCAGCTCGGGGGCCCTAGAACAGGTTTCAGACTTCCATCTATGTGCTCTGAAAAGGAATGCATACCTGTACCATAACGTGACTACCATGCGTGTGTACGTCTTAAGAGGACTACCATATTGTCTTGCCAAACCAAAGTCACATATCTTCAAATCTCCACGGTTGTTTAGTAGGAGATTTGAAGTCTTTAAATCCCTGAAAAGATCGCTTGTTTACAGTAAGACCAAAAGAAAAAAGAAAACAGAAAGGAAAGATAGAAGGCATACCTATGCAAAACCCAGTTGTCGTGCAGATACTTGACGCCTTCGAAGAGCTGTAGCATCAGACACTTCGCCTCACTTTGAGTAAAAGGCTGCTTCATGGCGTCCATCAATCCTTTCAAATCGTGCTCCATATACTCCATCACCATGAAGATGCTGTCCAAGTTGCTGCCGACCACCACTTCCTTGACATCCACGATCGATGGATGGTGAAACGAGAGAAGAACGTTGATTTCCCGTAGAGACGTCATGGGGAATCCTTCTCTCTCGTGGTCCATCTTCACTCTCTTGAGGGCGACAATCTCTCCACTTTTCTTGTCCCGAGCACGATAGACGACCCCGTAAGTCCCCTCGTCGATTTTGTTAAGCCTCTCAAACTCGTCCACGCTTCGGCAGCCTCGCAGCATATCAATACTACGTAGCTGCGGGGGCGGCGATCGATCGTCATAGTCCGAGTCCGACCCCGAGCGCTCGTCTGGAGCACTACCATCGTCGTCGCTAAGTTCCACAAGCTCTTTCTCGTTAAGTTCCTGCTCGTACCGCTGCTCCTCATCTCGGCTCCCGGAATTGTCCTGAGCACAACCACCACCGCTGGAGAGCACATCGGTGTCAATCGGCTGTGTTTCATCCTCTCCAGCAGCAGCCGCCTCGGAGAATCTAGACAAGGGCGGCGCCGCATCAGATTTTCTGCCGTCGTCAAGGTCCCAAACAATGGGAGAGTACTTCCTCTTCCTCGAAATCCCATCGTCGCCCTCTACGTCCCTGGAATCCGTGGCAATGTAGGCCCTGACTCCATTGCGCTCATTGTCTGGTCTATCCCTATCGAGATCCATGCCCCTCACCAGATGCATCTCCTGCTAGTCCCTAAGCTACTGCGATCCATCCAGCTCGATCGGGCGGGAGCAGGAGAGCTAGCGCATTTGGAACTTACCGGCGAGCGCCACGAGCCCTAAAACACAGAGTGAAGAAGCCCTAGACCCTAGACGTAAAATATTACCCTTTCTAACCTTTGGTCTAATCATTATTGCATTTTATGTTTCTCGATTCTTTATGAGAGGAGGAAAGAAAGTTCTCGTCTATCGACGAGGAGGATTTCTAGGTACTTAAAACGTTTTCTTCTATCGGGTAAGTGTTAAAATGGAAGAGCGTGAAGCAAAGCGACCGCGCCTGAATCCGGCGCCGCTGCTCGTTTTTGCCCACGGCGCTGGGGCTCCGTCCTCATCCGACTGGATGATCAGGTTTGTCTCTCCGGATCTTGCTTTAATCCTCTTTTTCTTTTTTCTTTCTTTTGGCAAGATGGAAGAACCTGTTGGCAACGGCGACCAACGCCGTGGATGTGATAACATTCGACTATCCCTGTAAGAAGCAAGCTCTTGGGTCTTCTTTCTTATTCTTTTTCTTCTTTCTTGGAAGATCTTTCTGGAGGAAAGAAGGGTGCTCCACCCAAGGCCGAGAAGCTCGTCGATTTCCATCTCCAGCAAGTTAACAAGGGCGTGGAGAAATACCCAGGACACCCAGTAGTTCTCGTGGGCAAATCTATGGGTTCAAGGTTCTTTTCTTTTTTCCTCTTGTCATCTTTATACAAGTTCTTCTCCATTTTCACAGGGTGGGTTGCATGGTAGCTGCGAAAGCTGGCTCACACCAGATAGCTGCTGTAATATGTCTGGGTTATCCGCTTAAGGTATAGTTCTCCTGTTTATATAGCCTGGTATGTAATCCATCCGGTGTCCAGGGAAGCAAGGGATCGCTTAGAGATCAAACCTTGCTTGAAGTTCCAGTACCAACAATGTTCGTCCAGGTACTTGCGATCAACCATCACTGTGAACTTCACAGCTCTCTTTTGTTCTTTTTCGTTTTGGCAGGGGACCAAAGACACGATGTGTCCGCTCGATAAGCTCCACAGCGTCGTCACAAAGATGCCAGTCAAGACCTCTCTCCACACCATCGAAGGAGGAGACCACTCCTTCAAAGTCCCAAAGAAGGTGCTTGACAAGAACAGCACAACGCAGGAGTCCCTTGAGCTCCACGCCGTAAATGCGATCCAGCTGTTCCTCGCGGACTCCCTGTGCATGCAATGAGCCTAGCATGTGAGTAAACAATTCTCTTTAAAAATTCTCGACTTGGGAGGCTCCAAGCGAGAGAACTCAATGAGCTCCTGCTTGGCCATTCTTCACGTCGCAGGCCAATCGGTTGCAAAACCAGGTTACAGTAATTAAATTGGTGCCACTGTGTACGACGTCCATTGTAGCGTAGCGTTCGATCATGATACCATGTTTAAAGGTGCCACTTTGTGCGACGTGCACTGTACAGTAGCGTTGAGATCAGGGTTGGCATCTGATTTCATGTTTAAAACTAGCAAACTGCCGAGCCACTGACTCGCATTGCATGGCATGCTCTCACGCTTGTCATGCTGCCTTGCAATTCTTCGTTTTCAGTTGCCATTTTGATGTTGATTGATTAACAGCATTTGTTGTCAATTCTGAAGTGTATAGAAGGTATGAGCAGCCAGTTGTGGAGCTTCATGTGGTGGAATGGAAGGTAAATGCTTAAACTGCAGAATAACAGGAGCGTGATCTGAACCATCCAGTTTTAAGCTTCTCCCACCACTCCATCTGCCATAGAGAGACATCAACACTGGCAACAACTAGTCTGTCTTTTTTGCGTACCTCGGAAGAGTGTCCAGCTTTGCACGCTTAAACTCGAGAAGAATGTCACACATATCTGTTCCACACTTTGCAAATCCGTCACAGCTACTATTGCCATGCTATCCATCAGGAGACTGACAATGGCCAGCGCAGGGACCAGCAATAAGAACGTGATCAATACGACTGCCGTAGTTAAACTCCTCCGCACCCGATGCCTGAGACCAGCAAGTGTAAGCCTCTGCTCTGAACAACATGTTTATAAGCACATATGTTTTGGCCAGACAAAAACCGTGAAGAGTTACCTTTCAGGATGAAACACGCGAAACGCGTCTGAAAACGCACCACCTCGCTCACCAGCAATGATCTAAACCATTGACGGCTCCTATTAAAATGAACATGTTAAAAAAGTACTAGAAATCAGTGAGTGACTTACGGATTGGTATCAAATTCTGGGCCAGGGTCACAGGAGTTGATAGGATATGGAGAAATGTTCAAGTCACCCACGATAATAATCCTCCTGCCTTGTTTTAAGATGCTTTCCAGCCTACACTGCGAAAGATTCACAACAAACAGCAACGCATCTGTCAATACCTGTAGCATAAAGTCCTGCCGTTCAACGTCTCCACAGCCAACATTAGGACCATAGATATTGAAGAGTACTAGGTAGAAAGAATCCATCAACAAACAGAACAGAACAATCAGTGCGAATGAAAGCAAGGAAGCTCCATACCAAAATACCCGTGGTCCGTGACGATGCATCGGCCTTCGTTGTCCAAGTCGAGAAGTTCCTGCCTCGTAAATCCTTCCAAGGTTAGAATTGGATCGTAGCTTCCAAGCCAGAACTCTTTGTCACCTTCACCAGCTTTGGCACTAGTCAACTTCCTCGGCAGCCACAGGCAACGCTACATTGTTTCCACACACCACCTTGCAAAACGTAGCCACACCTGACCAGCAATGCGCTTTAATCCCTTGCCAAGGGAGAACAAAAGTTCTAACTCGCAATGTCTGTAGTCGAAGAATGCAAAAAAAACCAAAATCTTTAATACCTAGTGATGTGATTCTTACCTGAGTAGCCCAGGCGGCCTTTCTTCACGGTGCGCGAGCAAGAGAAGAAGGATTCGTTTCCTTGCGCTGTGGCAATATCCGCGGTGACCTCCTGCCTGCGAATCTTAGTCTCCTAGCTCGAGAACATAGAATGAATCAGCAAGAACAGCTAGAGCCAATCCAAAATCCAATCTCTCGGAGGCATATGATGTTTGCGTCGAGCGAGTCCAAGAAGGACCGCAGCGATCTCGCCGGAGACAATCGCGCTCTCAGTCCATTCACATTGTAGCTCATGTTTACTTATAGCCTATCAAAGAGTATCACGAGAAATAGAATACAATGTATTAACCACTATCTCACTCAACTTACACTGGCACTGGATTGCTTGAACATGAGATACGCTGTGAGAAGTGGCTCCAAATTTCCGTCCATGATCACCGTCTCCACAATCCTTGTAAGGATTTGTAAGGATGGAAGACGTAGTTTTTTATTTGCTGTCCCCAGACCGCCTTGACAATGTCTCCTTGAATCTCTTTGATCTCGGCGGCCCTTTGTTCCTCGAGAATCACCAGGAGCTTGGATTGAGTAGCGCGATTGCTTTTATTTTTTACTTTAGTTAGAATGTCTTAGAGCACTAGATCTTTAGAAACATCATGAATGTGCATGACACGAACAGCAGTCTGCCCGCGTTTGCCTCCATATACTTTCAAGGTCTTTTCGGGTATCTCCTCGATCTCGCATCACTGTCTGTGAAGAGAAGCAACCGTTGAGACAGGAGTTTCGACGAAACTAAAGATTGTGTCGTAGACCTTTAGAGTTGAAAGGCGATTGTCTCACCAGCCTATGCGTTGTTTTACATACATTTCAGTACAGGATTGGGCTGAGATGCTTCTAAGGATGTACCAGCGATGGGCTACCAGGTCGGGCTTTAAGTCGACTGTGGTGGAGGGTCTCCTGGTGAGGAAGCTGAGATTAAATCGGCCACACTCGAGATCCACGGGGATATGCGTATGATTATATCTCTGGGGAGGCATCTCAAACCTTGGAAATAGATATCAGCAGACACTGTTCAGTAATAGTGATCCGAGCTTGTCATAATTTCCAGACAAGAGCTTGTTTAGCTCGAACCTATCCAGTGCCGCGGTGATCCATGAGACCGTCTCCGCGGCTTCCATTGGAGAGTATTTTCTTTGCTTTGGAACACTTTTCCCAAAAGGCAGGATCGCTCGCTTCGTTCTCCAGGTCAGCCTGAATAGCTTACTGTTGCTCCAGGTCTACCCAATCGAGGAGCTGACGAACTCGCGCGGCACGTGGAATCTCTTGAAGAGTACTTGTGCATTGTCTACTTCTGCATTGTCAACTCTTATGCATGTGAGTAAAGTGGCATACGCATACATAAGTTTATGCGTTGTCTAGCGCGCTTGCTAATTGCTTACCTTTACAAAGCGAAAGCAAAAGAAAAAGAAAAATATTTGCCATGATTGATGCCACTTTGTACGACGTGCACCGTAGGGTTGCGTTGCGATCAGAGTATCTGATTTCATGTTTGAAGCCAAGCAGCATGCCAAGCCACTGACTCATCTTTGCTAGCCACTTCCAAGTTGTCATTTGGATGTTGATTCATCAACGACATTTGTTGTAATTTCTGAGGGTATTCCATTGTCAGTTATGGGGGAGCCAAAGCAGGCCCGGATAGATGATTACGAGAATTTGGGAAGCATTCGCTTTGAGAGTTGGAACCATTGGGTGTCGAGTGTGAGTCAGCTGAAGGAACAGAGATACAGAGCAGCAAAATTCGATTCAGAAGACTTCAAAGGCTTGCGCAACCTGCTGCTGCTGGAGGACAACACTCTGGAGCACGTATTCGTGTGGAGGGAGGGCTACCACAAAGTGGAGGGGTTTCTAGAAGCAGCTGTGTCCAAGCTGAGCAGCCTTAGAATTAGACACAAATTTGGTGAGGAGGTGATTCGCAGCTTGGATGATGCTATTGCTGCTGCCAAGCACAAGGGGATGCCAATCAAGCTCAAGACGCTTTTTCTATATTCCTGTGCTGTAGATTTAGATGCTTTAGCAGAATCAACACTTCCAAAGTATTTAGAACGTCTGGAGCTTAAACAATGCGATTGCTCGCCCCACCTGGAGAAGCTGCTGCAAGATCCAGCCTGCAAGATCTGGGAGCTGTCCCTGGATCAGAATGAATACTTGACCCCTGCCCTCTTTCAGGCTCGAACAAGTCTACGGAAGCTTAGGCTGGTCAACACCCCAAATGATCAGGCGCTACTCAGCCAAATCTGCGGATCAATAGAAGGCCTTGGAATTTCAAATGTGGCCAGCCATGAGGAGATCTCCCTGCTGGCAGAATGCATAAACAACAATGCCAAGTGCAAGCTCTGGTTCCTGGAGTTAGAATCAATCGATCCAGTAACTTTAATGAAGCCCGTGGGTCAGTTACTGGCGAGCCCATATTGCAAGCTTGAAAGTGTCTCCTTGTCTCCGTTATGGGAAAGTCCTCAACTTATTTTTCTCAGGAGTGAATTTATAAGAAATTCAAGACTTCAAGGTGTGGTTCTCAGCAGCTTGGAGGCTAACTACAGCAGCCGGATCCAGAGACTGCAAATTGGAGGCAAATGGGCTTCTAAAGTGCAGGAGGGCAGGTGGTTGAGGGTAAAGTACCGGAATGCTCTATTTCAGAAGAGCCCCGTTTTTGCAAAAAGCACTCCAGTCACACCATCAACTGCCAAGCTGTTCATGTGCGGCCACACTGCCTCGGGCAAGACCACCATCTCCACCAATCTTGTCCGCACCTGTGCAGCCCTCCGGCAGTGCGTCAAGCCGCCGCGTCAGGATCATGCATCATCAACAGTGGGAATTGAGAGGAGGACTCTCAGATTTGGAGAGAGGAAGAAACTCCTGATCTACGATCTGGGAGGCCAGGAGGTCTACCACGCTTTTCATCACTATTTCCTCAGGGGCAGCGACAAAGATCTCTTCATGGTGGTGTGCAAGGTTGGAGGTCCTGGAGGTGACTTGGAAACAGAGCTCCAATACTGGTTTCGCTTCATAGCGGCCCACCAATCTGCAACACCAGCTAGGAAACCCACCATTTTCTTAGTACTCAACATCTTTGTTCGTGATAACCGTTTCTTGGTAGAAGCTCGAGCAGCTGCGACGACACTGTTACTCAAGTATAAGGACAAGCTAGACTTTGTTCAGGGCCAACGTGGTGATCACTATTTCGAGGTGAATGGGTTGAATGCTCGTCAGGTACAGAAGGAACTGAAGCCCAAGCTCGCGATAGCAGTGGACGAAATGATAAATAAACTTCCTGTGATTCCCTGGACTTGTGATGAGGTTATCAGAAGGCGGGGTTCATCCACACCATGGTATCATATCCACACACGGGCACAAACACTTGTCCAACAGAGGGTGGTAGACCTACATGAGATGTCCAAGGCTTGGTTCAAGGAGGAGAAAGAAGATCAGGCATTTGCTGCACAATACACATTCATCTGCTTACATGACATGGGAGAAGCTGTCTACTTTGGGGCAGATGACACATATCAAGACAGGGATCCAAACGACAAAGAAGCTGCATTGATTGTCAACAATGCAGTTCTAGACATGCCATGGTTTCTCCACACTGTGTTAGGAATTTTCATTCCTAAGCAAGACAGAAACGATACGATGAAGTGGGGGGAACCCAAGTGGTCTACTGTGAAAGCAGTACAAGAGCTCAAAACACTTGGAGAGACTGCGGAGGGCAACATCTATTTCCTGCTCAAGCTGCTCTGTGAGATGGGGGTTTTGATTCCTGATGGCATGACTAGCTGGGAGATAAGGTGGTCAGAGCCACGAAATCGGCCAGAACACCTCATTGTGCCTGCATTATTGTGTGATGAGTTCAGTGGATGGATTGAAAGCGAGCAAACATATGATTGTTGGGGTCGGAGATTGCAAGCAGACGACACTATGAAGGGCTTCGTTCTTCTCCCATCAGGTAATTATGCTGGATTACTTGTTGGATTAGACTAATACTGATTGAAAGCAGGACTATTTGCAGTTATTCAAGCTAAGGTGAAGGAGATGTGTGACAAATGGGGCCATGGAAGTGAGCTTGGTGCAGGTTGGGTTTCATTTGAAGAGGATCGCATTCAAGTTCTGGTTACTGTTGGTGGGGATTATAAGCATTGGACAGATAGGCAATGGGTGGATATTATGTTGATGGTGCCCAAGCAGGAAGAGAGGGGACTCAAAGGGGAGCAGTTCATGAAGGAGATACGAGATTGTGTAGTAAAGGAAACTAATAGGGCCTGTCCTTTCATCAAGCTTGAAGAACATGTTTTGAATCCAGGGAAGGTAAGACAGTTTGGAAAAGCATCAGGACAAGAGGGATCATGCAGCAAGAGCTCTTGGACACTGCAAGAGGTCAAACAGATGGTAGCCAGGGAGGGCTTTGATTATCACTTTACCTGGGGTTTTGGTGACTCCACAAGTGCCTTGGAACTCTTGATGCCAAGTGAAGTCAACGAGATTATTCAGCCACGTAAGCATGCTGTTGAAGAGGTTGTCAAAGAATACAACCAGCACATAGTGTCAGTGTACCAAAACCAGCAGCTACAGCTTGTGCAGGTCGAGATCCCAAAGTTTGAAAGTGATGACATGAGCAACCTTGCTAACTTTTGCTACCAATTACACAAGCATCAACAGAAATCTATGCAGGGGATTCAGATATATATGGAGGACTTTAAGGTCTCCATAACAGATATCAAAGAATCTTTACAAAAGCTGCAAAAGGGCCTGAAGGACACAGAAAACGCATTGATCAAGAGCTGCTCATCACTGTTGGAATCCATTAAGCTGGAGTGTCCGAAACTCCCGCACCTTACAATGGAGTCAAATCTGTTGCTAAAATATTCACCACTGATTGGGAAACGGGCAAATATTAGCTACTTATGTGAGCATACAAGCGGCTGTCACCCAGTTGATTTGAAGAAGTACCCAGGAGTACCAATCACTATCCCAAATCAATGGTTCAAAAAGTATAGCAACGTCTTCGTCCCAGGCATCACAATGTGTTTCACCCTTGCAAAGCTCGGTAAAGTGGCATCGCCAGTGGGAGGGGAGCTGGTCGGTACCTTGATTGAGCTTGGTGCAAATGGCTTGAAGGCTACAATTGACTCCTGCTTTGAAGGCGATCTCAATAACAGGTTGCAACCAGCATCAAAAGATGACATTATGGAGTTGTTTGAGTATGTGAAAAAGAATTCACCTCAACGATATGGCGAGGACCGAATCTTGATGATGAAGAAGTGCTTTGGACTCGTCAAAAGTCCATGTGGCTGGGTCTGTGAAGATCACCATTATTGAAGAAGAAGGGCACAGGCTTTGTAAAACTACTAAAATGAAGAAAAGGAGTTTGTATTCAAAGAAAAAAAACAAAAGAAAGCAGGTGGAATGTTTTTGCTGATATGCCTGGGTTATCCATAGTTCATGTATTGTATGTCGATTAGAGATCAAACCTTAAGACCTCTCTCCACACCATCGGACACTCCAAAGTTTCCACAAAGCAACGGTGCAAAGGAGTCCTGCGATTTAGCTGTTCCTCAGTTACTCCCTGTGCACGCATGAGCCTAGCATGTAAGTAAAAAATTCTCATTGAAAATTCTAGACTAGGGAAAGAGCCAGCAAACTTTCTCAATGAGCTGCTGCTTGGCCATTCTAGTCTTCGCAGGAGCGGCCGCCAGCCTCCTGGCCTGTGCTCGAGGATCGGACGAGGACTCTTTTGTGTGAGAGATGCAGAAACTCCCTCATTCCGGTTCCACAATCTCTACTCGAGGCATCATCGCCATCGATCTCGACTCAGTCGTCTCCTTCGCCTGATGCGTAACAAGGAAACTAACAAAGCCTTGTTCGTCGCAAGGTAGGCCATTTTGTACAGTAAAAGGACAAAGAAACAGAGAAAAAGAGGAGCCATTCTGGAATGGCACTCAATTCTGTATTAAACTTTTAGTTCAACACGAATTGTATTCTTGTATTTTGAATGCACCAACCCGATCTGAGAGAGAGAAGGGAAGTTGGTTGGACTGGAGCATGAAGAACACGTGGAGTGAATTAGGTAACGTATAAGATGATATGATTTAATTTTTTCAAATTTAGGGTTCAGAATTTTTTTGAATATGTTTAAGATTATATGATTTACTTTTGTCAAATTTAGGGTTCATGGCTATGACGAGCTTGGCGCCTGAAGAAGAAGAAGAAGAGGCCCCCGTGGAGAATGTAGCGCCACCCCAGCAGGCGGCCACCACTTCTGATCTGTTTAATTGCCTTCACGCCATCTTGAATCAGGTAGAGCTAGCCTTCAAGTCTGTGGAATTGATTGGTGCTACCTCCTTTGAATTGGCAGTTCGAGGAGGCTGAAGGGGCTGCCGATTTGGAGCTCCGGGACAAGCTCAGTGATCTCTTCGCCGAAACGAGCAAAGTTCCTGCGCCTGCGGAGGATGTAAGAGGTTTTTTTTTTTTAACCTTCTTGTTGTTCACTGAGTGTGTGTGTTTTGTTTGTGTATAGATCGAGAACCAGCTTAGCGATTTGAGCGAGAGGATGGGACTCTTGGAAGCCAAAGTCGCGGAATTGGCCCAGGACGAAGAGGCCGAGAGCCTCTTGAGAGAGACTTCTAAGCTGTGGATGCCAGTCATCACGGGGGAGCGATCAAACGCCATGGCCTCGTCGCCTCCAGACGAAAGTAGATAGTACTTTCAAAGCTCACACATCTTTGAGGCTTCCATTGACAGCTTAGCTTCCAAGACATAGATCCTCGACCATCTTCGTACTTGAAGAAAGCTTGGAAGCCATTCAAGATGTCCAACAAGATTCTTCGAGGACGATAATAACGTGTAACAAGTTGAGGTCGCTCGTCACAGAGCTCCTCTTTGTTCAGAGGGGTGATCCAGGCCGGGAACATGTTCGTGTTTCCTCGGGTCGTCCACTTTCAGCTCAACGTTGCGAAGGAGGTAGCTGTGGGGATCGGCGCGTTTAACAGCCAGAATCTGGGAACTTCCCAAGAGCGACGACGTGATTGCCAAGGCGTTCCAGTTCTCGGAACGCGAGCTTGTGAGCGAGCTCAGGAAACTCATAATAGAAGTACCTGTGTTAAGACGCTCTCACCTAAGCAGCGAAGCTGAGATATAACAATCGGTGTACTCGAATGCACGTTAATAGCTTAGATATAGAAGCAACTTTTCACTTCTTTCTTGTCCTGGACGAAGACCACTGAAAATGATCGCACCTCGCTTCAGGATTGGAAGCTGGGCCCTGCTCGAAACAACGAATAAATTATGAAGAATCTTTCAAGGAAGATCACCTTTGCTCGAGCACAGACGTAGAAACCACGGCCAAGATTGGGACCAGCCTTCTTAACTGTTCTCACGACACAAGGCTCACCGTGTCCCTTGCACAATGGAAGATTTCGCGACATCAGGCTCTTCAGTCTTTCCCAGCCTGCTGCAGATTTTTCCAAGCTTTGCTGAGAGCTTTCCGTCGGTGTTTCATCTGACATATCCATCAGACTGGCACTCTCCCCGCAAGCTGCAACCTCTGAGCAGTTGTTATTGTCGCATGATTCAGGTGATTGCTGGATTTCATCCGTAAGGCTGGAGCTCTGCCCATGCACTGCGACCTCTGTGCAGCTCATTTTGTCAGAAGATTCATGCCTTTGATAGCAAAACCGTGTCAATCTGCTTTGTGACAGCCTCTGTAGTTTCCTGCTGCCCGTTTCCTGTGTAAAAGCGGGCTTGGAAACATTTCGGCTTGTATCAGGCTCCGTGTTAGCTGTTGCTTTGTCGTTGAGCTTTTGGAAAATGGAAACTGCACCAGTCAGCGCTAGCGGTTGTCAGAAACGTCCTTCGCTATAAGAAGTTACTTACCGATACTTTGCTGACGACCGCGGAGCTCAGGCATAAATCGAGCAGCCAGTTGTGGAGCTTCATGTGGTGGAATGGAAGGTAAATGCTTAAGCTGCAGAATAACAGGAGCATGATCTGAACCATCCAGTTTTAAGCTTCTCCCACCACTCCATCTGCCATAGAGAAACATCAACACTGGCAACAACTAGTCTGTCTTTTTTGCGTACCTCGGAAGGGTGTCCAGCTTTGCACGCTTAAACTCGAGAAGAATGTCACACATATCTGTTCCACACTTTGCAAATCCGTCACAGCTACTATTGCCATGCGATCCATCAGGAGACTGGCAATGGCCAGCGCAGGGACCGGCAATAAGAACGTGATCAATACGACTGCCGTAGTTAAACTCCTCCGCACCCGATGCCTGAGACCAGCATGTGTAAGCCTCTGCTCTGAACAACATATTTATAAGCACATATGTTTTGGCCAGACAAAAACCGTGAAGAGTTACCTTTCAGGATGAAACACGCGAAACGCGTCTGAAAACGCACCACCCTCGCTCACCAGCAATGATCTAAACCATTGACGGCTCCTGTTAAAATGAACATGTTAAAAAAGTACTAGAAATCAGTGAGTGACTTACGGACTGGTATCAAATTCTGGGCCAGGGTCACATGAGTCGATAGGATATGGAGAAATGTTCAAGTCCCCCACAATAATAATCCTCCTGCCTTGTTTTAAGATGCTTTCCAGCCTACACTGCGAAGGAAGAAAAAGGTTCACAACAAACAGCAACGCATCTGTCAATACCTGTAACACTTGGTAAAAGTTGAGCTTAAAGTCCTGTCGTTCAGCGTCTCCACAGCCAACATTAGGACCATAGACATTGAAGAGTACTAGGTAGAAAGAATCCATCAACAAACAGAACAGAACAATCAGTGCGAATGAAAGCGAGGAAGCTCCATACCAAAATGCCCGTGATCCGTGACGATGCATCGGCCTTCGTTGTCCAAATCGAGAAGTTCCTGCCTCGTAAATCCTTCCACGGTTAGAACTGGATCGTAGCTTCCAAGCCAGAACTCTTTGTCACCTTCACCAGCTCTGGCACTAGTCAAGAGACCCGTAAAGCCTTCCTCGGCAGCCACAGGCAACGCTACATTGTTTCCACACTCCACCTTGCAAAACGTAGCCACACCTGACCAGCAGTGCGCTTTAATCCAATGCCAAGGATGAAGAAAAGTTCTAAATCGCAAAGTCTCTACCCAGTCCAACAATGCAAAACAATACCAAAATCATACCTGAGTAGCCGAGGCGGCCTTTCTTCACGGTGCGCGTGCAAGAGAAGAAGGATTCGTATCCTTGCGGCGTGGCAATATCCGCCGTGAGCTCCTGCCTGCGAATCTTAGTCTCCTAGCCCGAGAACAAAGAACAAATCAGCAAGAACAATCGAAAATCCAATCTCTCACCTGGAGGCATATGATGTCTGCGTCAAGCGAGTCCAAGAAGGCGCGCAGCGATCTCGCTGGAGACAATCGCGCTCTCAGTCCATTCACATTGTAGCTCACGATCCTCATTTCCCCGCCCAGCCACGGAGGAGCTCAAACGAAATAGGGCAAAAGCAATCTTATAGTCTATCATATCAAAGTGTTATAGTAGTTACCAAAGAAAAGAATACAATGTATTAACTATGGAACTATGGAACGATCTCATGTAACTTACGCTGGCACTGGCGAGGAGCTCGACTGCTTGGACATGAGATACGCTGTGAGAAGTGGCTCCAAATTCCCGTCCATGATTCCACTGATATCCGACGTCTCCACGTTTGTTCTCAAATCCTTGACGAGCTTGTAAGGATGGAAGACGTAGTTTCTTATTTGCTGCCCCCACTCCGCCTTGACAACGTCCCCTCGAATCTCTTTGATCTCGGCAGCCCTTTGGTCCTCGAGAATCACCAGGAGCTTGGATTTGAGCAGCGCGATTGCTTTTATCTTGTTCTGGAGTTGGCTTCTTTCCTCTGGAAACATGAAGAAAGTTTTAGAGCACTGCGCTGTTACTTCGTTTCATGTACCTGAGCAGCGAAGAGCAATCCCTGTTGGAATGTGCGTGACACGAACAGCAGTCTCGACCTTGTTTACGTTCTGCCCGCCTTTGCCTCCAGATCTACACGTTGTAATCTCGAGGTCGCCTTCGGGTATCTCCACCTCGATCTCGCTCTCTTCCAGCAGAGGCATCACTTCCACTCCTGCAAAGCTTGTCTGTGAAGAGAAGCAAACGTTGAGACAAGAGTTTCGATGAAACTACCGTTTGCCTCACCTGTCGGAGACCTTTAGAGTTGAAAGGCGATTGTCTCACCAGCCTGTGCGTGCCTTTCTCTCCGGAGATATAACCATACGCATATCTCCCGTCGATCTCGAGTGTGGCCGATTTGATCCCAGCTTCCTCGCCAGGAGAACTCTCCACCACAGTCGACTTAAATCCCGACCTGGTAGCCCATCGCTGGTACATCCTTAGAAGCATCTCAGCCCAATCCTGTGCTGGAATGTATGTAGAACAATCTCAAACCTTCCAAAAAGATATCAGCACAAGATGTTACCTGCGCATCGGTTCCGCCAGCGCCTGCGGTAATAGTGATCCGAGCTCCTTCTTTGTCATAAGTTCCAGACAGGAGCTTGTTTAACTCGAACCTATCCATCGCCGCGGTGATCCACGAGACCGTCTCCGCGGCTTCCAGTTTCAAAGCAGCGTCCGGACTCTCCATTTCCTCCAAAAGTTCCACTATGCATTGGGCATCGTCAACCTGTTCTTCCAAGTTAAAGTGCTTGTAGTTTGTTTTTCTCAGCAAATTACCTTGGCTCGAAAAGTTTTGTAAAGATTGACGCGATCTTTGATCTCGTTGAGCTCGGAGAGTATCTTCTGTGCCTTGGAACGCTCTTCCCAAAACGCTGGATCGCTCGCTTGGTTCTCCAGGTCGGCCAGAACAGCTTCCTGTTGCTCCAGATCTGCCGAATCGAGGAGCTGGCGAACGCGAGCGGCCACATTCTCTACATCCTTCCTCAAACTGTAAAATTCTGCCGAGTTTGATCGATTCATCAGCCTTTGCTCCTAGAGAATCGAGACACTTACCTAGCTCTGTCACCGATTGGCTGCCAGTATCTAAAGCAGCACATACCGTCCATGAAATCGATGACATTCTCTTCCCCCCCTCGAGAGCTTGCTCATGGAATCGAGTTCTTGCACAAAATCCAGTATCCACTGAGAACCTCTTGGATACCTGCGAGGGCAACTGGAGGCGCTGCTGTGTTGTCGGCGCCATAGCCAAGGCGCTCGCTCTCAAAGCCTCCATGGCAAACGGAAACTAGGGTTTTAGGCTAGATAGAAATATTTCGGTCCTCTGTTTTTAGGGCTATGGGCTATGGCGCTCCTCTCTCCCGTCGCAATGCCGCTCCGGCTGAGGAGTCCAGGCACACGGCCGGAGCTCTCCACGAAATCGATAGCTGTTTCGTGCTGCTGGAGCGAAGAATCGCGAGGAGCGAGAAGAATGCAGGCACTGGTTGCTTTGGCCGGATCGATTTTGCTCGCCGCGCAGCCTGCCTGGGCAAATGCTGATCCTGTGACGCCGTATTCTCGAGCGCAGGAGCCTCCGGAGATGGGATTATTGGACGGGTGAGTGATTCACGAAAATCTCCTTTTCTTTGGACCAAGCTTGCAAACATTTCTTGCTCGCAGGAGAATTCGTCCGTGTCCACTGGACATTAATCCCAATTGCATCTCCACTTCTTCGAGATATGGAGCCTCCGCGGCGATTCCGTGGACGATTCCAGACAAGGATTCTTCTACCGCTATCCAGGTAGAAGAATTCTCTCTTTCACTTTCTTAATCTCTCTCGATCTTCCAGAAAATCAAGGACGCAATCTTGTCTACCGAGAAGAATCCAACCATTGTGGAAATCAAACACTTAGAAAATGGTATAGCAATGGATCTATAGCTTGAATCGATCGAAGCTCAACTAAGTTTGTTCCAAAATCTCTCCAGGTGGTGACTACCTCCTGGCCGAGATGGATGGATTTTTGGGACGAGACGCCATCGAGTTCCTGGTGAAGAACAACACGGTGACTTACAGATCAATCGCAAAGAAAGTGGTCTACATCTATCCTCTCACCACGCCGCTCACCGATTTTGGCAAGCAACAGAGTAGAATCGTGTCCCTGGAAAATCGCCTCGGATGGACATCGCCATCGTTCCAGGGCTTTGGCGATTACCCAGAAGAATAGCGTCACATTTAAAATGAAAGAATATCCTCAAGTATATATTCTAGGTTTCGAAGAGCCCTAAAATCCCAGGTTAGGGCTTTCGCGCACGGGAGGATGGACGCGCTCAAGCAGGAGATCGAGCGCAAGCGCAAGCAAATGCAGGAGGAATTCGGGAGCCGCAAGTTCGTGAAGCGCGCGGAGTTGGAGAAGAAGGAGCTAGAGAAGCGGCGGAGGGAGGAGGACGCGGCGGCGGCCAGAGCTAGGGCGGCGGGCAGCAGCAAGGGCGGCGAGGTGAGGAGCGATGACCAGAGCAGCGAGCGGCCGTCGGCGTCGGCGACGTCGTCGAAATCCCGGGTAAATCTCAGCGAGGAGGAGAAGCTGGACGATCTCGTCCTCCCAAACGCGGAGGTGATCCGCCGCCTCCGCCTCCTCAAGCAGCCCATCACGCTGTTTGGCGAGGACGATGAAATGCGGCTGGAGAGGCTCAAGGTGGCGCTCCGGGCGGGGGTGACCGACACGGACAGCGAGCTCATGGAGGGCCAGAGGAACGATTTCCTCATGGATCTGGCGGAGCTCAAGAAGAGGGAGAAGCACGGATTGGAGCCCAGGAAGGAGAAGAACAAGGAGAAGGAGGACGACGATCGCGGAGACGATAACGCCGGGGGAGAAGCGCTGGATGGCGAGAGCGGCGGAGACAAGGACAAGGATCTCCTCATGAAGGCCAACTTCGAGGAGCTGTGCGACGAGGACAAGATCCTGGTCTTCTTCAAGAGGCTTATCCAGGAATGGGAGCAAGAGATCAAGGCGCGGCCCGACGCCGAGAAGCGAGGTGGTCGTATCGTCGCTACTTTCAAGCAGTGCTCCAGATATCTCAAGCCCCTGTTCAAGCTGTGCTCCAAGAAGGTGACGCTTTGATACTCTCTCTCTCTCTCGCAAGCTTTTCTAGTTGGTTTGTCTCCGGAGATGGATTTTCTCATGGTTTCTCTCCCTTGCAGCTTCTTCCGGATGATATCCGGCAGGCTTTGGTGATCGTGGTGGACTGCTGCCGGAGGCGCGACTACCTGGCCGCCATGGACCAGTACATCAAGCTCGCGATTGGAAACGCTCCCTGGCCGATCGGTGTCACCATGGTTGGCATCCACGAGCGGTCGGCGCGCGAGAAGATCTACGCCAACAGCGTGGCTCACATCATGAACGACGAGACGACGCGGAAGTACCTCCAGTCGATCAAGCGGCTCATGACGCTTTGCCAGCGACGGTATCCTTCGCTCCCCTCTCGCGCGGTGGAGTTTAACAGCCTCGCAAATGGTAGCGATCTCCAGACGCTCCTGGACGAGGAGCAAAAGCTTCTGGAAGGGACTCATCATCAATCATAAAAAATAAACACAGATTGCAAATCCCATAACCTCGGAAGATTTTTGCAAAAGAGAGATCTCTTTTTGGATCTTAGTGTTAATGTCACTACCAGATCATCTCCAGTGCTAGAGATACCTGATGATTTAGTGACAAAGCATGCCACCTTGAGTATCAATGTAGAGATCTGGAAATCACAAAAAGTGACAAACAAACAAACACGATTTCCATGTGTTAGATTTAGAATCTTTTTAGTGATTCCGGGTAAATGTAATCTTGGACTAATGTTAAAATATCTTAAAATTTCAAACTTTGGCGCCAAGACGTAAGCTTAACGCTTATTTAAATTGCGCTTTACTTGACTGAGCAGATGCGCGGATATTCTCCTCCCAACGGTTACTTTCACACGTGGCGGTTTATGGTCCCCACCCTGCGTGACACGTGGCCAGCGGTAGCCCCGTTGATTTCGTAAACCCCCACGCGCGTTTGCCGCCTAAACATGCTTTAGGGTTTGTGGGGTGCTCTGTTTCTAGGGCTTTTGGCGATGGCGGGGCAGAATGGAGCCCACGGACTGGGTGGAATGCTGCTAACGCTACCGTGATCAATACGTTGGATTCCCTTCTCTTTGTTTTTTCTTTGCTCTCTCGCCGCGGAGAAAGAGTGCTGTGGGCTTTTTCTTCCTCTTTTTCCTGTTTCTCTCGCTTTTCCTCTTGATCCGTTGCGTCCAGGAGAGAGAAACCGAGGAATCGAAGGCGCTGTGCCACGGAGAATCGAGCGGCAATCGGGCATTGCAATCGTTTTCTCGTCGCTGGTGATGCTCACTGTTCTTGTTTTCCCCCAGTTTTCGGTTTGGAGCAGTACTTGGAAGGACTTTTCCTTTCCTTGGGAACGATCTGTTTGATCGAAGAGATTCCTTCTTGTTTTCCCTGTGCTTTGGGTGTCGATCGGTTCTGGAGAACATCTTTACATTGTCAGCGTCCGGTGGGTCGTTTCAAGGGAGTTTTCCCTCTTTTTCTGTCCTGGAAGATCACGCATTTGTTGTGTGTGGGGTGTGGAACAAAGCGATCATCTTCTTCGCCAATAGAGAAGACTTGAGTGTGAAGAAAGGAAGCTAGCTAGCTATGGTCGGATTGATGAAGAAGAGGAGCTTCGCGTGCTTTCCATCCAGCTCCACCTCGATCGCAATGGCCTCCTCGTCCTTCCGTGACCCATTTGATGATCTCCCCATCTCGGACTCCATCTCGGACACCACCACCTCCGACAAGGATCAATCGGAGCAGCAGCAGCAGCAGTTCCTCCTCGCCACCGCGATCGATCAACTCCGCCCCAGCAGCTCCTCCAGATCCTCCGCGGGCTTCCGCTGCCTCCTCTCCTTCAAGCCCCACGCGTCTGGCATCTGCGCGCTCGCCATCTCCGACCACTCGCTCTACTCGGGCTCCGAGGATGGCCTCGTCTGCTCGTATCGCCTCGCCGATCTCCAGCCCAGCGATCGCCTCGCCGCTGCCTCCTCGGGCTCCGTCAAGGCCCTCCTCGTACGCCGCGCCGGCCTCGAGATCTACAGCGCCCACCAGGATCACAAGATCCGGGCTTGGAGCCGGGCATCGCCATCGCCACCATCGCAGCACCGCTTGATCGCCACTCTCCCCACCATCCGGGACGTGGTGGCGACCTCCATCCGCGGCAGCAAGGGCCTGGTGAGGATCCGGCGCCACCGCAAGAGCCCCTGGAACCAGCACTTCGACACCATCTCGTCGCTGGCCGTGGACGAGGCCGCCGGGATCCTCTACTCGGGCTCCTGGGACCGATCGCTCAAGGCGTGGCGGCTGCGCGACCTGCGCTGCCTGGAATCCATCGGGGACGCTCACACGGACGCGATCAACGCGCTGGCGGTGGCGCCGCGAGGCGGGTTCCTGTTCTCGGCCTCGGCGGACTCGTCAGTCAAGGTGTGGAGGTGGGGGAAGTGCGATCGATCGAGGAAGAACCACAAGAACACGAAGGGATCGAGCGATGGGCTGAGCTTCGTGGTGGAGCTCGCGCAGCCCAGCCCCGTGAATTGCATCGCGCTGTGGGGGAGCTGGGTCTACGCGGGGTGCAGCGATGGGAGGATCTCGGTGTGGATGGTGGCGATCGAGCAGGAGGACGAAGCATCGCCTCCGCGAGGAGCAGAGGACCCATCATCGTCGGAGTCCGGGGAAGAGGAAAACCAGGGAATTAGGGTTCTTCGCGAAGAGCCAGAGATTAGGGTTTATCGCGAGGAATTCGCGGCGCTGTGCGGGCATTCCATGTCAGTGCTGTCGATCTCGGCGGCGCGCGACGTCGTGTGCAGCGGATCGGCGGATCGGACAATCCGGGTGTGGAGGCGCGAGGACGAGCGGCATTCCTGCGTGTGCGTGGTCCAGGATTTGCACAGCCGCTGCCCGATCAAGAGCGTCATCGTCTCGATCGAGGGGATTGTGGACGGATGCATGGTCTACAGCGGCGGGCTGGATGGATTTCTCAAGGCGTGGTGGGTGTCGCTGAGGAGCAAGCCCAAGATCTTTGGCGAGAGCCCTTGCTCTGTTCTAGACTATCGGTGAGAGAGAGACACGCTCGTAGAGAAAAAGTTTTTCTTAGTGTTTGGCACCTAGAAAGAAATCTCAGATGTAACCAAAATGCCTGCTTGATCGATTCATGGGTGCTCGAGCGCTTCTCTATGTGGCCGCGGACGCTGGAGCTTTCTTCTGGAGAGGCTCTCCTAGGGAAAAAGCAAGAAGAACGAGCTTAGAACACATATTGGTCGATCGATCGATCAATCCGTGGCAAGCGGCAAATCCTCTTTCATTAGCCCCGGCTAGACACCGATGACACTGAAATGGATGCGCTAGCAGTAGTACCTTCTCTGAAGTTGCTCTTGAATCGCCTGGGGAGATGGCGCAGGTACCTCATCCGCCCGGTTCCAGTGGTCTTGCGCCGGATCGCCTTCTCGCTCCAGTTATCTACACACGAGAGATTTCGAGATTTCGTGAGCTCGCGGATCCACCAAGAACAAGGGAGAAGAACTCTTCTCACATTTTCGGATGCGCTTGGCAGGGTAGGCACACGCCGCGCATCTGGCCTTCTGGATGTGGAAGCTGCGCCGGCCGCAGCGACGGCAGAGCGTGTGCGACTTGTTCCGGCGCTTGCCGAAGCTCCCGGTTCCCTTGCCCTGGAAGAACACGAATCGAGAAGAATCAAGACGAGCGGAGGACGCGAAAGAGGAGCATTACCATAGCCGCGAGCCGCCCACAAACCCTAAAACTCTAACCCTATATCCGACGGTAGTAAAGGGAGCTCTGCGCGTTTTAGGGCAAAGCGGTATAGATTTTAAAATTCCCGTCTAGGGCGCTACTATAGACAGTGTAGGAGGAGCTCTCGAGATCGCGGGCCATGGCGAGCGATTTCACGGGCGCACAGTGCAAATCCAGCGCGGCCACGCAGCAATGGCCCCGCCAGATCCTCACGCTCTTGTCCGCGGAGCCGCTGCACAGGAGCTCGCCGTCGATGGTCGCCGCCAGGCACAGCACCGCTCGCCTGTGCCCTCTCAGGATCTCCACCACCCTCAGATCGTGGAGATTCTCGTTCGATCGCGCCCACACTCTCACGGTCTTGTCGCCCGATCCCGAGTAGAGGAGAGTAGAATCGCGGCTGAGCAGCAATGCGTTGACGGCCGAAGAGTGATCGTGGAAGCTGGCGGCGAGGCGGTGCTTGATCTTGCGGTGATCTGATGACTCCCAGGCTCTGATCTCGCCGCTGGCGGAGGCCGAGTAGAGTGTCGTCAATCCATCGCCATCACAAGAAGCCACCGCGAGCGCATTCACTGCGTCGTCGTGAGCCGTGAAGGATTCCACGCACTTGATGGCGATGGAGGAGGAGCTGGAGGATGCGGCGATCCTCCACACCTTGATGGTCTTGTCCCAGGATCCCGAGTAGAGGATCTTCCCAGAAGGACTGATTGCTAGCCCCGAGATGGCGTCCCTGTGCTGGACGAGCTTGGTGGAGTCCGAGGCGTCTGATCGTCGTCTTCGTCTTGGAAGGCGATGGCTATGGTGGTGGTGGTGGTGGTGGTCGCGGTCGCGACTCATGGAAAGCGATCGGAAACACATTCTATCCTGGAGGCTTGGTAGCGTTGCGGAGAGCTCGTGCTTGACGACCATGAGCTCGTCCTGGCTCTCGGCGATCCTTCTCGTCCACACTCTGATCTTCATATCGCGATGGGCGGTGAAAACTCTGGCGCCGCTCGCGAGGATTGCTCTCACCGGTGGGGTTTTGGGAGCAAGGCTGCCAACTGTGGACAATTCCCTGCTGCTACAGTCGAGCACGTCGATCCGCCGGGAGCTGGAAGTGTTTGATGACACGTAAAGGAAACAGTGCTCCCCTTCGGTGGAGGCGAGTGCCATAGCCACGGCTTGATCGCCGGGAAAGCTTGTTACACACTCCAAATTAGCTCTGCGATCGCACCTGGAAGACGAGGAGGAAGACGAGGAGGCCGAGCTGCGATCGTCTCGGCTGCTTGATCGCGACGATAATTTGCTGCCGCTGTTGCAGCTACTACCGCTCGTGCTAGATGATGAGAACTTGTCCAGTGGTTCCTTCGCCTTGGAGCCAGACTTGAGATGTTTGAAGAGCGCCAAGCACTTCATGATTGAAGCTCCTCCCTGACGACGAAAGATCCCGAGCCTGGAGAACACAGGTGTTAAGAGGAATCTCACCCGGAGATAAGGATCTAGCACGGGAAAAGAGAAGTTCCACAAAAGTCGCCACCATTGTGTTGACATTTAAACGGACGAGAAGTCTAACAAGACGCTGGCTTGGCTGGCTGGAAACAAACAATCAAGAACAAAAGGAGGTGGAGGACGTGTTTTCGGGAAGAAAATCCGCGAGAAATGTGTGCTAGCTATCGAAAAATCACCACAGCGCCGCATTGGGCCGCACTTTGGCTCGAAAGTCTCGATTAAAAGTAAAATGTGTCGCGATTGGGTTTGCAGGACATGATATTTTTTGCCTTCGAAGTTCTGGGCATTCACGCAAAATCAAACACATCAAAAAGTGCTAGATTGATACGAGAGTTTCTTAGCCACTGTTTTTGGTCGAGCTGTTTGTTTGTGATTGGACGCCCGCGTGATTCCTTTCCCTGGAAGAAATAGACACACAAGATTTCTGAGCTTTAGTAGACATGGTCCACGAACCTTTTCCTGGAGCCTGGAAGGGAAAGTTTTTACGTGGACGGAAGGGAGAGAGAGACGGTAAACTTCTACGTATAGCTACGCCGCCGTCTTCTTGAACTTATATCAGGCTGTGCTGACTGCAAGGTGACGAGAGTGTGAAATCGTACCTTTTCATCCAGGTAGTGCTTCAGCTAAGCCGCTTTGATCCTGTTTCTTGTCCTCCCGGCTCTTCCATAATTCTAGAATCTAGAGTTGGATACAAGTTTTATGACCCTCCCCAGCAAAATCCACCACTGCCAAGGAAAACTTCGTATATCAAACCAAATCAGATCCATTGCTCCAGAGGTTCTGGAGGTTAAGAACAGCAACGATTTCCGGTGCAAATTGTTGCTAGTAGACCTCTGATGTACTGCTTCTCTTTGTCATTCCTTTTAGTCAACAGCAATTTGTTACAAATAAGAGAAATTCACACAGTAAGCCAGCCAATATTATACACAATTGGCTTGATGAACTTGAAGAAATGCTTAGGGGAAAGATCAAAAAATTGCTAGTCTGTCCAATATATAACAAGCTCGGATCACTATTATTGCAGGCGCTGACTGAACCGAACAGTGTCTGCTGATATCTATTTCCAAGGTTTGAGATGCCTCTCCAGAGATATAATCATACCGAGTGTGGCCCATTTAATCCCAGCTTCCTCACCTAGAGAACTCTCCACCACAGTCCACTTAAGGCCTGACTGGTAACCCATCGCTTGTACATCCTTAGAAGCATCTCAGCTCAATCCTGTGCTGAAATGTATGTAAAACAACGCATCTACAGGCTCATCGTGAGACAATCGCCTTCAACTCTAAAGGTCTACGACACAATCTTTAGTTTCATCGAAACTCCTGTCTCAACGGTTGCTTCTCTTCACAGACGAGCTTTACAGGAGTAGAAATGATGCTGGAAGAGAGCGAGATCGAGGCGGAGATACCCGAAAAAGACCTTGAGATTATCTGGAGGCAAACGCGGGCAGAACGTAAACAAGGTCGAGACTGCTGTTCGTGTCACGCACATTCCAACAGATTGCTCTTCGCTTCTAAGTTACATGAAACAATGTTTCTAGAGATCTAGCGCTCTAAAACTTTCTTCGAGTTCGAGAGAAGCCAAGGAGACGTTGTCAAGGCGGAGTGGGGGCAGCAAATAAGAAACTACGTCTTCCATCCTTACAGGATTTGAGAACAAACACGGAAACGTCGGACATCAGTGTCATCATGGGTGGGAATTTGGAGCCACTTCTCACAGCATATCTCATGTCCAAGCAATCGAGTGCTGGTGTAAGTTGCTTGAGATAGTTCCATGGTTAATACATGTGGGGGAGAGTTCTCCTGGCGAGGAAGCTGGGATCAAATCGGCCACACTCGAGATCGACGGGAGATATGCGTATGGTTATATCTCCGGAGAGAAAGGCACGCACAGGCTGGTGAGACAATTGCCTTTCAACTCTAAAGGTCTCCGACAGGTGAGCCAAACGGTCGTTTTATCAAAACTCTTGTCTCAACGTTTGCTTCTCTTCACAGACGAGCTTTGCAGGAGTAGAAGTGATGCATGTTAGAACTAAGCTGAACAGCACACAACCAGGGCAGGTAGCTCAGTGGTGGTCCTGGGTTCAATCCCCGGCGTGTCAAGATCCATTTTCCAATAATGCAGAGAGCGAGATCGAGGTGGAGACCCGAAGGCGACCTTGTGTAGATCTGGAGGCAAAGGCGGGCAGAACGTAAACATGGTCGAGACTGCTGTTCGTGTCACGCACATTCCAACCGGGATTGCTCTTCGCTGCTCAGGTACATGAAACGATGTAACAGCGCAGTGCTCTAAAACATTCTTCATGTTTCTAGAGAAAAGAAGCCAACTCCAGAACAAGATAAAAGCAATCGTGCTGCTCAAATCCAAGCTCCTGGTGATTCTCGAGGACCAAAGGGCTGCCGAGATCAAAGAGATTCGAGGGGACGTCGTCAAGGCGGAGTGGGGGCAGCAAATAAGAAACTACGTCTTCCATCCTTACAAGCTCGTCATGGATTTGAGAACAAACGTGGAGACGTCGGATATCAGTGGAATCATGGACGGGAAGTTGGAGCCACTTCTCACAGCGTATCTCATGTCCAAGCAGTCGAGCTCCTCGCCAGTGCCAGTGTAAGCTACTTGACAAATACATTGTATTCTATTCCTTGTTAACTACTATAGATTGGAGTATAACTCTTTGATAGACTATAAGATTGCTTTTGCCCTATTTCGTTTGAGCTCCTCCGTTGCTGGGCGGGGAAATGAGGATCGTGAGCTACAATGTGAATGGACTGAGAGCGCGATTGTCTCCAGCGAGATCGCTGCGCGCCTTCTTGGACTCGCTCGACGCAAACATCATCTGCCTCCAGGTGATTTGGATTGGATTTTGGATTGTTGTTGCTGATTTGTTCTTTGCTCTCGAGCTAGGAGACTAAGATCCGCAGGCAGGAGCTCACCGCGGATATTGCCACAGCAATATCCGAATCCTTCTTCTCTTGCACGCGCACCGTGAAGAAAGGCTGCCTCGGGTATTGTTTTGCATTGTTGGACTGGGTAGAGACTTTGCGATTTAGAACTTTTCTTCATCCTTGGAATCGGAATAAAGCGCATTGCTGGTCAGGTGTGGCTACGTTTTGCAAGGTGGAGTGTGGCAACAATGTAGCGTTGCCTGTGGCTGCCGAGGAAGGCTTTACGGGTCCCTTGACTAGTGCCAGAGCTGGTGAAGGTGACAAAGAGTTCTGGCTTGGAAGCTACGATCCAGTTCTAACCGTGGAAGGATTTACGAGGCAGGAACTTCTCGATTTGGACAACGAAGGCCGATGCATCGTCACGGATCACGGGCATTTTGGTATGGAGCTTCCTCGCTTTCATTCGCACTGATTGTTCTCTTCTGTTTGTTGATGGATTCTTTCTACCTAGTACTCTTCAATATCTATGGTCCTAATGTTGGCTGTGGAGATGCTGAACGGCAGGACTTTAAGCTGAAAGTGTTACAGGTATTGACAGATGCGTTGCTGTTTGTTGTCAAACTTTTTCTTCCTTCGCAGTGTAGGCTGGAAAGCGTCATAAAACAAGGCAGGAGGATTATTATCGTGGGGGACTTGAACATTTCTTCATATCCTATTGATTCATGTTGGCCCAAAATTTGATACCAATCCGTAAATCACTCACTGATTTCTAGTACTTTCTAGCATGTTCATTTTAACATGAGCCGTCAATGGCTTACATCATTGCTGGTGAGTGAGGGTGGTGCGTTTTCAGACGCGTTTCGCGTGTTTCATCCTGAAAGGTAACTGTTCACGGTTTTTGTCTGGGCAAATCATACGTGCTTATTAGTATCTTGTCCAGAGCAGAGGCTTACTGGTCTCAGGCATGTTTAACTACGGCAGTCGCATTGATCATGTTCTTATTGCCGGTCCCTGCACTGGACATTGTCGGGCTACTGATGGATCGCATGACAATAGTACCTGTGACGGATTTGCAAAGTGTGGAACAGATATGTGTGACATTCTTCTCAAGTTTTAAGCGTTCCGAGGTGCGCCAAAAAGACAGACTAGTTGTTGCCAGTGTTGATGTTTCTCTATGGGAGATGGAGTGGTGGGAGAAGCTTAAAACTGGATGGTTCAGATCATGCTCCTGTTATTCTGCAGCTTAAGCATTTACCTTCCATTCCACCACATGAAGCTCCACTCGATTTATGCCTGAGCTTCGCAGTCGTCAGCAAAGTATCGGTAAGCTCCATACCTCGTTGTCGCTAAGTTCCACAAGCTCTTTCTCGTTAAGTTCCTGCTCGTACCGCTGCTCCTCATCTCGGCTCCCGGATTTGTCTTGTCACCACCACCGCTGGAAAGCACATCGGTTGGCAATCGGCTGTGTTTCATCCTTTCCAGCAGCAGCCGCCTCGGAGAATATAGACAAGGGCGGCGCAGGTACAGATTTCCTGCCGTCGTCAAGGTCCCAAACAATGGGAGAGTACTTCCCCATCGTCGCCCTCTACGTCCCTGGAATCCGTGGCAATGTAGGCCCTTCCATTGGCTTGCTCGGGCGGGAGGAGCTTACCGGCGAGCGCCATTCGCTCCACTCCAGAGCCACGAGCCCTAAACCACAGAAAAGTAAAATATTAGGAAAGGAAGTTCTGAGAGCGTTTTTACACAGGTCCTTCTGTTTGTGAATGTTTTTTTTTTCCAGACAATCATATCTAAGGTGACTCAAGTCTACTTGATGAGTTTCCTGAGCTCGCTCACAAGCTCGGGATCCGAGACTTGGAACGCCTTGGTAATTACATCGTCGCTCACGTCCGGCCTGGAAGCAAAGACCGCCTTTGCAACCTCGAAGTCCCCGGATTCTGCCCGTTAAACGTGGCGATCCCCACAGCTCTCCTTCCCAACGACGACCCGAGGAAACATGACCCGACACGAACATGTTCCCGGCCTGGATCACCCCGTCTGATCCTGGAGCACAGGCCAGGAGGCTGGAGGAGAAGAATGGCCAAGCAGAAAGCTCTTTCCCTAGTCTAGAATTTTCAATGAGAATTTTTTACTTACATGCTACGCTCATGCGTGCACAGGGGCTGAATCGTAGGACTTGCACCGTTGCTTTGTGGAAACTTTGGAGTGTCCGATGGTGTGGAGAGAGGTCTTAAGGTTTGATCTCTAACTTCCCTGGACAGCAGATGGATTATATGAGCTCTAGACATACAATATATGAACTATAACCTTGTGGATAACCCAGGCATATCGTTCCAAACATTTCGCCCAGAACTTAGCTGCTTTCTTTTGTTTTCTTTCTTTGAATAAAAATTCCTTCACTTCACTGCTTCTGCATTTTAGTAGTTTTACTAAGCCTGTGCCCTTCTTCTTCAATAATAGTGATCTTCACAGACCCAGCCACTTGGACTTTTGACGAGTCCAAAGCACTTCTTCATCATCAAGATTCGGTCCTCGCCATATCGTTGAGGTGAATTCTTTTTCACGTACTCAAACAACTCCATAATGTCATCTTTTGATGCTGGTTGCAACCTGTTATTGAGATCGCCTTCAAAGCAGGAGTCGATTGTAGCCTTCAAGCCATTTGCACCAAGCTCAATCAAGGTGCCGACCAGCTCCCCTCCCACAGGCAATGCCACTTTACCGAGCTTTGCAAGGGTGAAACACATTGTGATGCCTGGGACGAAGACGTTGCGATACTTTTTGAACCATTGATTTGGGATAGTGATTGGTACTCCTGGGTACTTCTTCAAATCAACTGGGTGACAGCCGCTTGGATGCTCACATAAGTAGCTAATATTTGCTCGTTTCCCAATCAGTGGTGAATATTTGAGCAACAGATTTGACTCCATTGTAAGGTGCGGGAGTTTAGGACACTCCAGCTTAATGGATTCCAACAGTGATGAGCAGCTCTTGATCAATGCGTTTTCTGTGTCCTTCAGGCCCTTTTGCAGCTTCTGTAAAGATTCTTTGATATCTGTTATGGAGACCTTAAAGTCCTCCATATATAAATGAATCCCCTGCATAGATTTCTCTTGATGCTTGTGTAATTGATAGCAAAAGTTGGCAAGCTTGTTCATGTCTTCACTTTCAAACTTTGGGATCTCGACCTGCACAAGCTGTTGCTGCTGGTTTTGATACACTGGCACTATGTGCTGGTTGTATTCTGTGACAACCTCTTCAATAACACCCTTACATCGCTGAATAATCTCGTTGACTTCACTTTGCATCAAGAGTTCCATGGCACTAGTGGAGTCACCAAAATCCCAAGTAAAATGATAATCAAACCCCTCCCTAGCTACCATCTTTTTAACTTCTTGCAGTGCCCGAGAGCTCTTGCTGCATGACCCCTGTTGTCCTGATGCTTTTCCAAACTGTCTTACCTTCCCTGGATTCAAAACATGTTCTTCAAGCTTGATGAAAGGACAGGCCCTATTAGTTTCCTTTATTACACAATCTCGTATCTCCTTCATGAACTGCTCCCCTTTGAGTCCCCTCTTTTCCTCCTTGGGCACCATCAACATAATATCCACCCATTGCCGATCTGTCCAATGCTTATAATCCCCACCAATAGTCACCAGAACTTGAATGAGATCCTCTTGGAAGGAAACCCAACCAGCACCAATCTTACTTCCATGGCCCCATCTGTCACACATTTCCTTCACCTTGGCTTGAATAACCGCAAATAGTCCTGCTTTCAATCAGTATTAGTCCAATCCAACAAGTCAAAGCATAATTACCTGATGGGAGAAGAACGAAGCCCTTCATAGTGTCGTCTGCTTGCAATCTCCGACCCCAACAATCATATGTTTGCTCGCTTTCAATCCATCCTGTGAACTCATCACTCAATAATGCAGGCACAATGAGGTGTTCTGGCCGATTTCGTGGCTCTGACCACCTTATGTCCCAGCTCCTCATGCCATCAGGAATGAGAACCCCCATCTCACAGAGCAGCTTGAGCAGGAAATAGATGTTGCCCTCTGCAGTCTCCCCAGTGTTTTGAGCTCTTGTACTGCTTTCGCAGCAGACCACTTGGGTTCCCCCCACTTCATCGTATCGTTTCTGTCTTGCTTAGGAATGAAAATTCCTAACACAGTGTGGAGAAACCATGGCATGTCTAGAACTGCATTGTTGACAATCAATGCAGCTTCCTTGTCGTTTGGATCCGTGTTTTGATATGTGTCATCTGCCCCAAAGTAGACAGCTTCTCCCATGTCATGTAGGCAGATGAATGTGTATTGTGCAGCAAATGCCTGAACTTCGTTCTCCCCCTGGAACCAAGCCTTGGACATCTCATGTAGGTCGACCACCCTCTGCTGGACAATTGTTTGTGCCCGTGTGTGGATATGATACCATGGTGTGGATGAAGCCCGCCTTCTGATAACCTCATCACAAGTCCAGGGAATCACAGGAACTTCATTGATCATTTCGCCCACTGCTATTGCCAGCTTGGGCTTCAGTTCCTTCTGTACCTGACGAGCATTCAACCCATTCACCTCGAAATAGTGATGATCACGTTGGCCCTGAACAAAGTCTAGCCTGTCCTTATACTCGAGGAACAGTGACGTCGCAGCTGTTTGAGCTTCTTCGAAAAGACGGTAATCACGAACAAAGATGTTGAGTACTAAGAAAATGGTGGGTTTCCTAGCTGGTGTTGCAGTTTGGTGGGCCGCTATGAAGCGAAGCCAGTATTGGAGCTCAGCTTTCATCTCACCTCCAGGACCTCCAACCTTGCACACCACCATGAAGAGATCTTTGTCGCTGCCCCTGAGGAAATAGTGATGAAAAGCGTGGTAGACCTCCTGGCCTCCCAGATCGTAAATCAGGAGTTTCTTCCCCTCTCCCAATCTGAGAGTCCTCCTCTCAATTCCCACCGTTGATGCATGATCCTGACATGGCGGTTTCACACACTGCCAGAGGGCTGCATAGGGGCGGACCAGATTGGTGGAGATGGTGGTCTTGCCCGAGGCAGTGTGGCCGCACATGAACAGCTTGGCAGTTGATGGTGTGACTGGAGCGCTTTGTGCAAGAACGGGGCTCTTCTGAAATAGAGCATTCCGGTACTTCACCCTCAACCATCTGTCCTCCAACAGTTTGGAAGCCCATTCCCCGCGAATGCGCAGTCTCTGGATCCGGCTGCTGTAGTTGGCCTCCAAATTGCTGAGAATCGCATCTTGATACTCCTTGAGAAGATGAAGGTCACGTGAGGAGGGGCTTTCTTTCTGCTTAAGAAAATGAGTGTCAATATCAAGACGAACATGTTGAAAAAACCACTCACCTTTACCCCAGGTAACAAGGAGAAACTTCGAAGCTTGCAATATGGGTTCTTCAGCAGCTGGCCCACGAGCTGCGCGAAAGATAAATCTAAATGTGTTAACTCCAGGAACCAGACCTTGGAGTTGGCATTGTTGTTCATGCAACCTGCCAGCACGGAGATGTCGTGACGGCTGGGCTCATTTGAAATTCCAAGGCCCTCTATTGCTCCGCAGATTTGGCTGAGTAGAGCCTGATCATTTGGGATGTCGACCAGCGTAAGCTTCCGAAGACTTGTTCCAGCCTGGAAGAGGGCAGGAGTCAAGTATTCATTCTGATTGAGGGACAGCTCCCAGATCTTGCAGGCTGGATCTTGCAGCAGCTTCTCCAGGTTGCGCGAGCAACGGCAATTATAAAGCTCCAGACGTTCTAAATACTTTGGAAGTGTTGATCCTGCTAAAGCATCTAAATCTACAACACAAGAATTTAGAAGAAGCGTCTTGAGCTTGATTGGCATATTCTCGTGCTTGGCATCAGCAATAGCTTCATCCAAGCTGCAAATCACCTCCTCGCCAAATTTGTAATTTCTAATGCGAAGGATGCTTAGCTTGGACACAGCTGCTTCTAGAAACCCCTCTACTTTGTGGTAGCCCTCGCAGGACAGCATTACGTGCTCCAGAGTGTTGTCCTCCTGCAGCAGCAGCTCGCGCAAGCCTTCGAAGTCTTCTGAATCGAAGTTTGCTGCTCTGTATCTCTGTTCCTTCAGCTCCCTCACATTCCACACCGAATGGTTCCACATCTCAGAGCGAATGCTTGGCAAATGCTCGTACTCATCTATCCGGGCCTGCTTTGGCTCCCCCATAACTTCCAATGGAATACCCTCAGAAATTACAACAAATGTCGTCGATGAATCAACATCCAAATGACAACTTGGAAGTGGCTAGCAAAGATGAGTCAGTGGCTTGGGATGTTGCTTGGCTTTAAACATGAAATCAGATGCCAACTCTGACCTACGGTGCACGTCGTACAAAGTGGCATCAATCATGCCAAATCTATTTCTCTTTCTTTTGCTTTTGCTTTGTAAAGGTAATTGTTTTTGTAAGCAATTAGCAAAGCACATGCGTTAGACAAGCTGTACAAGTTTCGTATGTCGTCCGATGCTTGAGCACAGGCCAGGTAGCTTGCGAAGAGAAGAATGGCAAGCAGCAGCTCGTTCTCTCACTCGGAGCGTCTCTGAGTCTAGAATTTTACAATAACGATTTACTTACATGATTCTCGATATTGAATGGATTTTAGTCCGAAAAAAGAAGTGTTGATCCCGCTAAAGGAGCTAAATCTACAGCACAGGAATATAGAAAAAGCGTCTCAGTGAAAATGCTTCCCAATTCTCGTAATCATCTATCCGGGCCGGCTTTGGCTCCCCCATAACTTCCAGACAAGGCTTTCACGGCCTCTGCCATTCTTTTGGCGATTAGCACGTAATGTTCTTCGATCGTACGAGCCAGCATTAAAAATTTGTTAAGCACAAACTCAACGAAAGCGCTACGGACACCCTTAAATCTTTTCTACCCTTTCCTTCATCCAATTTCACCTCGTTTCTTATTCGATCCTGGCGTCCAGCTCGCTCGCCAGGAGATATAAAACTGGGCCAAGCCTATGGATCCAGCACGATGGCAACGAGGTAGA